TATTTTTAACAAAATATGTAGGCAAACTAATGAATAACAACCTCACTAAAAGCCCATAACTAATGGCCCCTGAAATATGTCATTCATGTGCTTTTGAGAAATATGCCTAATTATTGAATAAATTAAAAATGATTGGATAAATAACGTTAAAACAATATTCGCCTATTCCTCACGTTGATTACAGTATAGGCCTAATCGCTGTTGATTACAGTATAGGCCTAATCGCTGTTGATTACAGTATAGGCCTAATCGCTGTACACCAGTAATTATGACGTGTAGGCTACTAACATCTCTCACCAGTCTCTCACCGTGTCGGAGTCAATAGCATCTATTGGACCTTGTTCAGTATTTAGATACTGCATTTGAAGGCACCTTCAATAATCTATAGCCAAGACCTACAGTAAACTGTATGTTGATTAGGTCTACACAACTCTCAGTTGTCTTGATTGTATGGGTTAGGTGGCAACCTATTTGATAATTGCATCACTGTATGGTCGAAAAGGTTAAAAGAAAAATCGTTACAAAATCGAGCAATGGCCTTGTCACAATTTTTGCATAACACGAAAAACTAAAACATAGATTTTCCAATTTTACTGCACAAAGATTTCAGGGGGAAAAAATAATATATTTAATAAATAACAGATTGGACGCTTATTGTTTTAGGGAGGACATTATCGAAATATACTGAAGAGGAGCAATATGAAGAAAATTAATGCATCGAAAGTATAGGCCTAATGTCACTGTATCCTATTATCATGATCAATTGATAATTTATCCATAGCCAATCCCTTTCATATCCATCACCAGTGCCTGCTCCACATCTCAGGTGTTCAAACTCAGGTGTCCATTCGATAAATCATCTATAGACCTACAGCCACCAGGCCGTGATATTGTCCATGTTGTTTCCTCTTGGCTTTTAACCATATCTTCCTGTCATTTTGTATTTTGGATACCAAAGCAATTATGTCGTTATTCTGGCGCATCTGCAGAGCGCGACACACATTCTCTGTTTGGCCCCTTTGTGCATTGTTGTGACTGCACGAGGCTCCGGGATGATTCTACAAAAGGGATGGTTAAAAATGAGCTACATCATATTGTTTGACAGAAAGTTGCAGGTTGATAGAGTGGATTCTTCAAGGGGGTGAAAATGGCGAATTCCCCAAAAACGGCTGAGATCCTGCCTTCTGGTGGGTATAGCCTTGAGGGAATCACGGTGTCGACTGTGAAAAATCTAATTAGAGATTATGACGTAGACACTTCCCTCTTCCTATACAAAAGAACAGTTTTACAGAGAATGGCTCGTTTTTATTAAATGTGGCGTGCTGATCATTCGGTGATGTAAAATAATTAACATAATAGCCGTAATTAAAAGCGGGCTAACAATGCCATTAATTTATCATACCGTTTTACTAACTTTCTGCCCCCCAAAACTCTCCCATAATTAATTAAATGAGTTGCCTTTCAAAAATCAGTTTTCAAACGAATAGTTTTCACGTTAGGTTTTTGGCGAACGCCAAACAGACACAGGCATCGGGCTGATGATGCCAGGATCCTTAGCTCTTAATCCGCAGCAGCTCCAAGTTTTACATAATTTATTTACTGGAAGGAAATGGTTTAAAATAATGAGAGAGCATCCTTTGATTCTGCAGCCACCACTAAAGCGAGGATGCGTCCATTCACCAAGAAGAACGCACTGAGTCTTCTGTCGTCAATGATTCCTGTTCCTCTGTGGGCAATAACACATTATTCGATGTCTAGGACATTTATGCTGTTTTATTTTTGTGTTTTTATTCAGTAATAGTGGAAATAATGCAGCATTATGGCTTATACAAGTACCGTGGATTAATATATGCCCGTGCGTAATTAATATGTGGCCATGCGTAATTATACGCGCCATTCTTGGTTTCATGTGCAGCCGCGTCTTTCCATCCCCTCCCGTTTCCATTCTAGTAATCTATTTTTCTTCAGAGCACACATTCTCTCGCTCTCCCTGTTTCTGACACACTTTTCAATTTCATCCTTATCTCTTTTTATTTAAGCAATTTAATTAGGCAGAAATTCTATACCGTTTTGCTATCCAGGAGGTATTTGTTTCTGACCTTCCTGTGGTAATCACATTCAACGCGGCGACGCGGTGACCGTATCCGCTCTGTCACCTGCTATCTGCTATCGCTGCCGCGTCCTCTAATGGTTCATGGTGGAGAGTTAGCTTATTATTCTAAAAGGTTTTGTCGGGCTAAGCCGTGCATGTGTGCTTAAATGTACATTTCATTAACAAACTGCAAAGATATAAAAGCGGATTTATGAGGCTTCAAAAGATCACAGGGAGGACAGCTTCGATCTCCTAGTTACATTGGCTGTCTTTCACAACACGCTGCACCTCGGATTTAAAGACGAAGGACCCTTTTAGGATAGCCTACACCTGTTTCTAAACGTTTCTGAGATGCCCAAATCTAAAATGACATAACATAGTCAATAATGCACAACTAAAAATAAAAGTATTACTCCCCCAACAAACAATATGATGTATATATAAACAATTCCGTGAAAAAGGAAACAAACATGGTACGCAAATAGTTGTGTAGTGTCAGTGTTAGCTAGATATAGGAGTGAGTGGGTGAGCTGTGATTTCATCTGCTAAATAGCCCGGTATTGATAGACTCCACATCACACAGGTCACCGGGTGCTTGCCTAAGCAAGAGATTAGCACAATGCATGTCTAATCCGGGGGCCTTTTCACTGCAACACCATTATTAACGATATGATTTAATTAATCCGACTTTTATTCAAACAAAGGAGCAGCCGCGTCAAAGGTGCAGCACTAGGCACGAGCCCCCTGTGCCAGGTAGAATTAAAGGATAGAGAGAGAAGAAGATCATGGAGGTCGCGGCCGCGAGTCGCATGTTTTTAGATTAATAAAATACAGGCTTGGGAATGACGAATTGAATGATATCAGAAATTATGTAATATTAGATACTAAAATGGTAAAATATGTATTAGTAAAGGCCCATTTTCGATGTACCTAGCCTATATTTTCCGAGGACATTGTTAGAAACAACAGAGCTATAATTTGGACGATTTCTAGCAACGTCAAATATATAAAATATAATGGTTATAGTATTCTAATAATATTGAACAATTATCAAATTAAAATAATCATTATATATATATTAATCATAATAGGCCTAATTGAGTTGTATTTGTTGACCTAAATAAAGATGATGTGATCGATGATGTGATCTACATAATAGTGTTTATAAGCAAATAATCTAAGTATTTGTGGTGGTGTCTGAGGGAGTTGTGGTTAGTGGTAGCGAAATCCTCACAGTGCAATGCCAATGTGCACAGATTGCTGTTTAGCTTTTCAATGGAGGCCAGAAGAGGAGCTTTGAACTGAGCAAAATAGACCTTGTCATGGTTAACTGCTACTCCGTTCCCATCGTAAAGTCATTTACACATTTTTGTTAGTTCTAATAGAGGGGTGGTAAGAATAATTGATTCTGTTGTCAATTAAAATATATTTTCATTACGGCAGGAGGTGTTTCAGACGGAATCAATAGGAAGTTATATTGCTTGTGGCACATAGATAGAGAATCTAAGATAGGAAGATACTCCTGTTTTATTTCTTCACAACAAAGCCACGGCAGCTTTTGTAAATTAGCAATGAACATGTCCCCTATTTTAAATAGATAAACAGTGCTATGTGTCTGCCCGACCATCTTCAGCCTATTTGCAGGCTATAATCAGAGCAGGGATGGTAATGATACTTCTCCTGACCCCCTCCACTCCACTCCACCACAATGACATCGGACAACATTTCTCACACGACGCAGGAAACGTTTAGACTTCTGTATTCGTTTCTACATCCTTTCTAGTGAACAGCCCACATACACCACACACCTTCATGGTTGTGAATGGGACCTTTGCATTCACCCGGTCCCGCATTTCCTACTTTTTCATATGCTAACACATGCAATGATTAGGTCGTTAACACCTCTGGCAAAACCCGTTGACAATTATTTATTTATTCTTTTCCATGGTTGTTGCTCAATATCCTTCTCACCTTTGACAAATCCACGGAATGAATCGTCTGAATATAGCCTTACATTCCATGGTGAAATCTACACAATCCATCGTGAAAGTTAAACTAGATTTTTGTTAGTATAATAGTAAATAATAATAATAAGTAGGCTATGTCTTTCACCAAAAGGTCTTACGCATAAAGTAAGAATTACACGTGAAGTAATTTGGGTACGGAGCAGGCAACTAAGAATTATAGACTCTATTTTCCAATGTAATAAAATTATTATATCCCATGCAACATAAAGACGAGCACACAATAATAACTAGAAGAGACTAAATTAACTTAGCTGTCGACGTTTTCATTCAGCAGCATTCAACACAAGCAATTTGTTTAAGCAAAGTTAAGATTTGGTTTTAGTGCAGCCCCGAGATAAAATGTGCATCAGATCTTTCAATCATGTAGGCCAATTTTCATACCCCCCCCCGGTACCGTTAAATGGTCTATGACGGACGAACACAGACAGAGAGTAGTGGAAAGCAGCATTACTGTTGTCCCTTTGTTGACAAATCCATGAAACAACTTCAGTTTGCATGGTTTAGCAGGGGGACGTCTGACGTCACCCAATCACGTGGCGGCACTGATAGTATATCTTAAACTGGAAAAGTAATCTATCAGACAGTCCTTAAAACCGGCTTTAAAAGCATGTGTCATCTTGACTTCACACTCTTAAACCACTCTTACTAGGAAATAGCGATTGAAGGACATCGAGGCGTGAAGCGCACACACCAAAACTAAAACCCTTAAGAAGACTACTAGGCTACTCGACTGGAGAAATATTTTCTGAAGTTTAAGTTTCTCTGGCAGGCCGGTCTGACCTGCATTTAGAATCCGGCGACATCCGATCTGACGGCAACGGACGGGCCGCGCGCGCACCCTCACCTAGATCCCTGGTTGTTCCTCGGTAAAGTAAGCTGTGATGACCCTGTCTGGTGGCAACAGTGCCAACGACATGTCCGGTCACACGGTGCTCACTGCCGAGGATGTGGATATCGACGTGGTCGGCGAAGGCGATGAGGGAATGGAGCGAGACAGCGACTGCGACAGCCAGGGGGGCATGCAAGACCGCTCGGAGGAGGTGGAGGAGATAGAAGTGAAGGACAGGTCCGGGAGTCCCTGCGAGAGCGCCGGGGAGGGAGAGACCAAAGCGGACGGCACGGAGAGCGCGTCGGGTGCCATGAGCAGCAAGCCGAAAAACAGCCTGGTGAAGCCCCCCTACTCCTACATCGCGCTCATCACAATGTCTATACTCCAGAGCCCGCAGAAGAAACTCACACTCAGCGGGATCTGCGAGTTCATCAGCAGCCGGTTCCCGTACTACCGAGAGAAGTTTCCAGCCTGGCAGAACTCCATCCGGCACAACCTGTCACTGAACGACTGCTTCGTGAAAATCCCCCGGGAGCCGGGCAACCCTGGTAAGGGCAACTACTGGACACTGGACCCCCAGTCGGAAGATATGTTTGACAACGGCAGCTTCCTCAGGAGGAGGAAACGATTCAAGAGGCACCAGCCAGACATCCTCAGGGACCAGACAGCCCTCATGATGCAAAGTTTTGGGGCTTACAGTATTGGGAATCCTTACGGACGTCACTATGGAATTCACCCAGCCTACACCCATCCAGCGGGGATGTACCCTTACATGCACCCTGTAGGTCCCATGCTTCCCCCAACTGTCCCTCTCTTGTCCTCCGCTGAGCTGAACAGAAAAGCCTTCAACTCTCAGCTCAGCCCCAGCCTACAGATGCAGCTAAACAGCCTGAGCACCGCGTCTATGATAAAGTCCGAGCCCTCCAGTAGACCATCTTTCAGTATAGAAAACATCATCGGGGTATCCACTTCCTCGAGTGCACAGACTTTCATGCGGCCTCCGGTGACTGTTCAATCGGCGTTGTTGAGCGCACATGCCCTAACCAGGACAACAGCAGCTATTGCACCAATGCTTAGCATGCCATCTAATATCATGTCGGGACAGTTTTTACCCTCAGTAACCGCAGTGTCCAAATGGCCTCAATAGTCTCAATAAAATAGTCACTTTTCTAGAGACTTGGGGGGGGGGGGGGGACACTGTACAGCACGAAATAGGCATGCAGCACTGGAAGATGTGTACCAATCTGTAGCCATGTAAAGACTAACAAAGGAGAAAAGAAAAGGAATGCTATCTGTACAGGTAATATTTGTACATATTTGTAAAAAGAAATACTTTTACTTGTTTGACTTTTACTTATTTTATTTCGTTGTTTGAATTGTACAACAATTATAGTTATAGACAAGCTTTCCTGATATTATTTTATATGTTATTTTGTAACTGGTAGCTAGCTCACTTATAGTTTAAAATAATCAACACTTCTGTTTTGATTTTTCATACAAGATACAACATGTTCTTATTCTAAGTCTGGACAAATGGTCTGTTTATAAATTGAAATATATGTATTCTATGTAGCTCTATTGTGTTGTAAACTGGAATAATTTGTTAATAAATATAAAGAAAGAAGCATTAGCAGTATTCATTTTCTTTATGTCGTTTTTGAATTATCTGATAGGTCTGATTTGTGATAATTATTGAAACGTCTCTAATTGAAACCATTTTAATAGTAGGAAATAATCGGAAAAGTGCCTGGGATATGACAAAATACTAGTACAGGTTTTGTAAACAAATTGATAAAAATGTTATCACATTAAACAATCAAAACAAGATTACAAACCAGGTGCATTTAATTTAAGGCCAATAATAAAAGGTAGGCCTCTGAAATTCCAATATTTCTATTGCCATGACAATTAAGTGAGAGTGTAATGACATGTTTATTACCGCGAGCAAGTAATGAATTAGTCAACTGAAACACATGTCATTTCCTATAGGCGTAGTTTAAATGTAATATCTCTTTAATATAAAATATGGCTATTGATATTACGAATTAGGAAATGTTTACCTTAGTTTAATATCAATTCATTATCAATTTCAATTTACAGTTACATTCAACTGTTTTTAAAGTTATTTTGTGGTTTGTTATGATCAAATCTTGTTATCATTTGGCATGACAATAACTAGGCTATATCATTATAGCCTATTTGTGCTAGTATGTTATGTTGGCTTATTTACAGATGTCAAAACAATTAAATAGATGTTATCTTTAATAGCATATAGGTCTAAATACTAATCAAGAATTAGGCTACTTATAATGCCACAGAACGCTCGATTCTGCCTCCTCGTTATTTTATTATAGACAAAACTTAAAAACAAACATGAAATCATTAGAACTGGTCTGAAAATGACTTTGGTGGATCAAAATAGTAAAATAGTTTATTATCAATAAGCTGTTACTAATGTTTTCACTAACATTACTACCATGAAAATGAGAGTGGATTTACTCATGAGAAATGTTATGCAGTGCAGATGCTCTTTAGCATAACTGGTAAATGCCGAGACATTATGGTATCATATTACAAGAGAAACCGAGGAGATATAAATATGTTTGCATGATGCTACTATAAAAGTAACACTTAGTTTCACAGTTGTGTCTGGCTAATCAGTTTTACACAAACAGCAAATGGTGGATGGTGTGTGTGGCCGGTGGCGGTGCACAGGGGTTAGGGGGCTATATTTAACTGATACTCATGGGAACAGAGAAAGGACTCTCTTCTTGAATTAACTTTCAGTCTGAAGAAGCTGCTGAGGCAGTGCTTCTCAATGACACTGGGTAACGGAGGGCGCCCATTCCACGACTGACTCCTTATTCCTTCAGATGAGACTACATTTTTATGCGCATTGCTCCGATGCCTCGCGTCAAAGCACAGTTTGATATCACATACCGTCGGTGATTTACAGGACGTAGCGATGCAGGGGCTTCTCTTTTAAATAAAGCCCAGACATAGATAAAATATGATGACATATAAGCATTTATAGTCAGGCCTACTGGCTTGCGAGGACAAATAATGTATTGAAATGTAGACCTTCGGACTTCGTTGTGAGGGGAGATTTGTAAAGGGATCTACGTTGACTTCTATAGGCTGTTGATCCTATAGTATCTTAATGCAAGGTCTAATCGAAATTAGTGAATGAATGCTGCTTATCAACCGACGGTTGTTCATTAAAATGTTTACATTCTTTTTAATTGTCAAGGTGGTTATTTTCCAACAAAACTATGACTGACAAATGTTGGTATATGTGTCTCATAATTACTACCATAATCTCTATTATGTCTTAGGTAAAAGCAAGAAATGGTAGTTGAGTAGGCATTATAACAATTGCTCTCTAGCAAAACAAAACCATCGGAGAAAATATATCCCTACATATAGTCTATATTGTCATGCAATTACGGTACTAGTTTGGTAAGAATATAGCTTTTATTCGAAGGAGACATTCTGTTCAAACATTCTGTTCATTTACTGTTCAAACAATGTAGCCCACAATAACACACACATAACCGTGTAACAGCAATGACTTGTGGAAATCGCTAGGTGGCGTTTATTGACACCTTTATTCTTGTGCAAAGCGATTTAAACACAGAGAAACATAAGGCCTAAATATCCAACCAGGAGCATTACATGGGTGACTATCCGACATCTGTTGGCGTAAGTGGGCTAATACTGAGTGGTTTGGGTCGATCTTATTTATCTTGGAGTAGGGACACTGTGAAATTGTTTAGATTCAACGGGTTTTAATCGTGTGTCTATTTTAGGGGCAGCTGGTGGGAAAGAGTTGACTCTTTAACAAGTGCAAGGTTATAATAGATCCCTGCTTTTTATATACCTGACGTCAAGTAATAACATTCGACGGGTATTGCAACTGTGGACCACCGGAGCTCCTCGAGTTATTACCTAGGTAGCATATCAAGTTCTGTATATTCACAGAAACACACTGACGGGGCTGCAAACTCATTTTGACATATCATAATCCTCAAAGTAATTAGCTGCATAATGTAAGCCTAAATATTAGGCCAAAGTTGATACCTTTACATTTTATTCTTGTACAATCTCAAGTTGCTTGGACGGACTGTTGTGTAGGATATGTAAGTCGTTTCATATTGTGCCCAAAGACAGAATTGCCTTTCCCATAATACATTATTTGAAATGGAACGAAATGGGAGCCCATATGAAAGTAGCCTATTTTGACTTGAAATAAGACCCCAAAAAAAGAAGCATAATATTTAGCCTATTGTATTAATACAATTCTAATTGGTATTTAATTATTTTATATAGGCTATAGGCCTCGATCAAATAATGTATCGGATGTAAATTACGCATTCCCCACAAGCCTGGTTTAGCCATTAGAAGGTTTTAAGGTTTTAATTTAGGAATATAGATTGATATAGGCTAGTAGACTACTATCTAAAATGTGGCGAGGCTAATAATCATACTGATATATGCTACATCTTCTCCAACGAAATGGCTTACAACACGCGAAGGATGATGACCTGCGCGCAAATGTTTGGATGCATTTCCGTTTTAGGGAGGCCTAAAAAGCCTACAGTATAGAGCTTTGTTGAACGTTTCTGCGCTTTGTAGATAGCCCGGCGCTCACACCCACACACAACGTTGACCTCTGTAGCTGCACCTGCTCTCGAGGGCTGCACAGGTGGGCTGTATGGACAGTGAGAACAAGCAGTTCCCACAACCCCGAGACACACTCAACACTGACAGCACAAACAGCATGGACCGCCACAGAGGTGCTCATAATCTACTTCACATAATAGAAATAGGTTTGAATTAATACAGAAGGTACATTTGGGCTGTAGATTAAAGCTTAGCTGATGCTGCTCTTACAGCAGAGTATTGCAAGGCATTTTGAGTGAAAAATCAAATAATATTAATACAGTAGCATATTCTTAACTTTGTTAGACACGTTTTTTGTAAATTGATGTTTATGCACAGTTGTGTCATGTGTATAAATGTGTCCTTAGTGTTTGTTTTTCACATCTACAAGGCCTACAATACATAAAACAAAGAACACAAGACAATTAGGATCAGTACACAATGAAAGAGGGGACTTACTGGCCTTTGTCATCTGGTTGACAGCAAACACATTGATTCTCCCAATAAAAGTAATTATCTAGTATGGACCTCTAATATTGCAGATGATATGACACATTCCCATAATGATCGCTCTGTTTTCTACTGCCTATACTCTTTATTAGCTATAAAACATGTTTCAGTTGGGAATGTTCATTTTATGTAGCCTTTTTTTTACAAGGAAGAATACTTCATTCATCCATTTTCCAGATGACACATTGCTTATTTTCCAGATGACGCATTCCCACAATAATCTCTCTGTTTTGTAGACCTATTGCCCACTGTTTCTTAAAAAATACTTTATTGATTAATTTCCCTTTGTCCAAGGACAAGTGTTTCAGTTGATCCAAAGTGCAATTTACTGGGAGTGTGTGTGTGTGTGTGTGCGTGTGTGTGTGTGTGTGTGTGTGTGTGTGTGTGTGTGTGTGTGTGTGTGTGTGTGTGTGTGTGTGTGTGTGTAATGAAATCTACAAAAACATTTAAATAATTACCTGTGATCTATGACAAATGATCAATAATGAACTGTGTTTATTACCTGTGCAAATAAAACAGAATGGTTGCATATTATTATTATGGTTGCATACCTGGTTGTTGCTTTTAACTACCACTGCCGTTGTGCTATTACAATGTTGTTATTGTCATAATACTAGGTTAGAGTTACTTAGCTACTTACTTAATGAATCTCTTCATCCAATAAAGTCCAGAAGCATTATCAGTCATTGGTCAGCCTGATGATGAGGATGATGATGATGAGGGTACTTCATTCCTTCATCTCCTTCTCCACAACCGTTCCCCATTCTATATAGGAGTGGTAGAAAACATGTGTAAAGAAATAACCATACAACTAAGGCACAAGGCTGTATTCCGTCATCTTCTTCTCCTTCCATTCCCCACTCTAATGGACTGGTAGAAAACATAGGGAAAGTAAGAAACATAGACTCCAGTGGCATTCGCACACAAAGCACAAGGCTGCATTGGTTCATCTCCTTCTCCACAACCATGGCCCACTCTATTCTATTGTGGCACATGTATTGTGGTCCTCTGTAGCTCAGCTGGTAGAGCACGGCGCTTGTAACGCCAGGGTAGTGGGTTTGATCCCCGGGACCACCCATACACAAAAATGTATGCACGCATGACTGTAATTCGCTTTGGATAAAAGCGTCTGCTAAATGGCATATTATTATTGGTGTAAATAAAACTATTATCTACCTACCTACCTACCTACCCACCTACCTACCTACCGTATCTATCATTCCAAACATGAAGATAAAGAAACAACCAAAGACTGTCTCTGCGACTGAAATGGCACCCTATTCCCTATATAGTGCACTAGGGAATAGGGTGCCAGTTTGGACATAGTGCATTGTCAAGCAAGACGTGGAAAGCCTTCATTATAGCATTATAGCAGGGGTGACAAGCCCGGCCAGATCATAGACAGTAAATGTAGATACAGCAGTTATTGAATATTTAAAAGGCGCAGAGATGAAGCAATAAATGACAAAGTGAAGCTGGCACACCAGGGTATTAATAACTAATGGCCACCAACGAGTTATAGGCTTCTCATTGTAATGAAAGTGTCATTGCAAATCAGCAGTTGTCCAAGGTTATTATTATTTATAAATAATTGATGCGTGAACCACAAAGAAGTGACGTGTTTCATCCAACAACTTCTCACCCCTCGGAATGGAAACAGAGACATGGTTGTAGATGTCACCGGACTGAAAGGTCATACAGGATGTGCCTCTGGGCAGATAGACAGTATACTGGGGGTGACATCAAGCACGTTGGTGATACAATATATTGTGCTACAGTATTTGCATATTCATAAACTACCTCCTATTGCTGTCACATATCGTTACCTCTCTTGTTTGTCAATCCTTCATAGAAAATCATGCCTTATCATAGCACATACTGAAGTCTCAGACTATAAGCATTATTTTATCATGTGGGTCAAAATAATGCCTAATATTATAGTCTATTAGCTAATGTAACCTCAAACAAACTGCTTAAGCCCATGTGGCCAACTACACTCTTAGAAAAAAGGGTTCCAAAAGGGTGCTTCAGCTGTCCCCATAGTGGAACCCTTCCAGGGTTTTTACATGGAACCCAAAAGGATTCTACCTGGAACCCAAAATGGTTCTTCAATGTGTTCTCCTATGGGAACAGCCGAAGAACCCTTTAAGGTTCTAGATAGCACCTTTTTTTCTAAGAGTGTATAGGCTAGCCTACTTGTGGAAAAACTGGTTCCCTCAATGTCCAAATCACATATTTGAACAAATAGCCAAAGTAGCGAAATCCTTCACTATCATTCTTCTTTCGCACTTCTTACCGTCACTATTTGTGCATATTGACATATGATGTGATAATGTCGGTTTCGGTTTATTTGATTGAAATCGAATATTCCCTATCGTCACATCATCCATCTCTGACCAACAAGGAACAGAGAGAGGTACCACGAAACGTCATCAGCCGGCGCGTGCGCTGACGTGTTCAGGAAGTTTAAACAACAATCCTGAACGGAAGCTGCAGCATGCATCGAGAGTTATAGTATTTTGTTGCAATTAATAAAGCTGTTTTATTGTCTCGGGGATGGAGAACTGGAGCCTTTTGTCCCTTTGTGTTTTGCTCGGTCTTACGGCGAGATGGGCTGTATCCTTGAACTCTTATTCAGGTAGGAAGTGGACCATAGCTAGCTAGCTTTATGCTAATGTTGCACCTGCAGGGATCACTGACAGCTCTCTGTTTCATAGTTACGTAGTTAGCTAGAAATGCTAGCTAGCTTGACATTGTAAACTTGTCAAATTGTTGATTTTGAGTGGTAAAATGCAACCGGTATTTTGGTGCAATGATTTTTGACATTAGGTTGCTAGACAGACAGAAACATGAGTCAGCTTGCTAGCTAGCTAGCCACTGTTCAGCAGCAGGACTGTAATCTCTTCCTCTGCATATTTGCTCAAGCTAGCTAGCTATTATTATTAAGCAGCATTTTCACCCATTTCTCTTATTTTCAGGGGCAGGCAAACCACCCATGTTCGGGGACTACGAAGCTCAAAGGCACTGGCAAGAAGTGACATACAATCTGCCTGTTCATGAATGGTTGGTCTATGCACCTGTCTAATAGCCTACGGGCCTGTCTTGCATCTTTGTTGTGTTTTATATTGTTTCTAAGCAATAGCTAGGATAACTCAATGTTGTTTTCATCCTTCAGGTACTTCAACACTACAGACAACAACCTAAACTACTGGGGTTTGGACTACCCCCCCCTCACAGCCTACCACAGCCTTCTCTGTGCACATGTGTAAGTCTGAGGGCACACACCCAAACATTAGGATCGTGGGTTCGATTCCTGCTGAGGCCACCCGTACGAAAGTGTATGCACACAGTACTGCAAGTTGCTTTGGATAAAAGCATCTGCTAAATGGCATATATTATGGTTATTATGATTATATTACTATGTTGTGCTTTCCTGCAGGGCCATGCTGATAAACCCAGACTGGGTGGAGTTGCATGCGTCTCGAGGTCATGAAAGCTATGGACATAAGTTGTTTATGAGAGCCACAGGTAAGACTACTGACAGACAGGTTAAAGAACAGTACACATCAACGCTACTGACGGACAGGTTAAAGAACAGTGCACATCAAACAGCTATTGACAGTCAGGTTAAAGAACAGTACACATCAAACAGCTATTGCAACCGCCTGTTGTTGTTAGTGTTGCAGTATCACTTAAATCTAATGTACACCAAATATGGTGGTATACTGATTGCTTTGTCTCTTTCTCTCTGCGTACACTTTACATAAAACGACTATAAATTATTATTTGTTTATTATGCCAACAAGAGAGACGTACACACGTGACTACTGGATAGAAAGAAGTTGCTTTCTTTCTGCATATGCCTATCCTGTGTCACAATATGACAGATTATATGTCATTCATTTATCACAAGAAGAAGCACTGTATAACGTCAGAGCACAACCTCCCCCCCCCCCCCCCCCCCCCCCCCCCCCCTCCCCTCCCCTCCCATCCCCTCCCCTCCCCTCCCCTCCCCTCCCCTCCCCTCCCCTCCCCTTCCCTTCCCTCCCCTCCCCTCCCCCCTCCCCTCCCCTCCCCCCTCCCCCCTCCCCTCCCCTCTCTGCACTGACTGTTGGTTTAGGGATGAGCGTCACATAGGAGTGAGACACCAACGAAGAACATGGTCAGTCACTTGTTATTCATTTGTGGGACTGAATATATGTATCTTTGCTCAGTTCTTATTGCAGATCTGCTGATATACATTCCTGCTGTTGTTCTTTACAGTTTTTACCTCAGTGAAGGATCAAACAAAAAGAAGGTAAGGCAGAATTCAGACATTTACATTCCCTCTATTTGATGTGCTCCTAACTAAAAATAAGTGCAGTCTCAGTTTTGAGAACTAGAAGAACAAAGATACTGTATTGCATTGGCATTACCTGCCCGTCTCACTATAATGTGTTGTGTTCTCTTCTCGCCTAGGTCTGCACAGTCCTCTGTATCCTGCTCTATCCAGGCCTTATTCTAATCGACTACGGGCATTTCCAGTATCCTTTAAAAACCCAAGCTATTTCTATCACTGGATCATATTATTATTATTTCAAAATCATGACCATCTCTTGTCATCCCATGTATGTACAGTCGTGGTCAAAAGTTTTGAGAATGACACAAATATTAATTTTCACAGTCTACTGCCTCAGTTTTTATGATGGAATTTGCATATACTCCAGAATGTTATGAAGAGTGATCAGATTAATTGCAATTAATTGCAAAGTCCCTCTTTGCCATGAAAATGAACTTAATCCCCCAAAAACAATTCCACTGCATTTCAGCCCTGCCACAAAAGGAACAGCTAACATCATGTCAGTGATTCTCTCGTTAACACAGGTGAGAGTGTTGACAAGGACAAGGCTGTAGATCACTCTGTCATGCTGATTGAGCTAGAATAACATACTGGAAGCTTTAAAAGGAGGGTGGTGCTTGAAATCATTGTTCTTCCTCTGTTAACCATGGTTACCTGCAAGGAAACACGTGCCGTCATCATTGCTTTGCACAAAAAGGGCTTCACAGGCAAGGATATTGCTGCTAGTAAGATTGCACCTAAATCAACCATTTATCGGATCATCAAGAACTTCAAGGAGAGAGGTTCAATTGTTGTGAAGAAGGCTTCAGGGCGCCCAAGAAAGTCCAGCAAGCGCCAGGACCGTCTCCTAAAGTTGATTCAGCTGCGGGATCGGGGCACCACCAGTGCAGAGCTTGCTCAGGAATGGCAGCAGGCAGGTGTGAGTGCATCTGCACGCACAGTGAGGCGAAGACTTTTGGAGGATGGCCTGGTGTCAAGGAGGGCAGCGAGGAAGCCACTTCTCTCCAGGAAAAACATGAGGGACAGACTGATATTCTGCAAAAGGTACAGGGATTGAACTGCTGAGGACTGGGGTAAAGTCATTTTCTCTGATGAATCCACTTTCCGATTGTTTGGGGCATCCGGAAAAAAGCTTGTCCGGAGAAGACAAGGTGAGCGCTACCATCAGTCCTGTGTCGTGCCAACAGTAAAGCATCCTGAGACCATTCATGTGTGGGGTTGCTTCTCAGCCAAGGGAGTGGGTTCACTCAAAATTTTGCCTAAGAACACAGCCATGAATAAAGAATGGTACCAACATCCTCCGAGAGCAACTTCTCCCAACCATCCAAGAACAGTTTGGTGACGAACAATGCCTTTTCCAGCATGATGGATCACCTTGCCATAAGGCAAAAGTGATAACTAAGTGGCTCGGGGAACAAAACATCGACATTTTGGGTCCATGGCCAGGAAACTCCCCAGACCTTAATCCCATTGAGAACTTGTGGTCAATCCTCAAGAGGCGGGTGGACAAACAAAAACCTACAAATTCTGACAAACTCCAAGCATTGATTATGCAAGAATGGGCTGCCATCAGTCAGGATGTGGCCCAGAAGTTAATTGACAGCATGCCAGGGCGGATTGCAGAGGTCTTGAAAAAGAAGGGTCAACACTGCAAATATTGACTCTTTGCATAAACTTAATGTAATTGTCAATAAAAGCCTTTGACACTTATGGAATGCTTGTAATTATACTTCAGTATACCATAGTAACATCTGACAAAAATATCCAAAAACACTGAAGCAGCAAACTTTGTGAAGACCAATACTTGTGTCATTCTCAAAACTTTTGACCACGACTGTACAGCCAGTGTGATTATAAATAATGAGATGAATCATGGTAGAACCAGTTTGATAGGGGACCTTGATTTGTATGAATGAGGCATAGCAGAGCAGCCGGTAACAGTACCATCATGACTATGCATTCTTTAACTGGGTGTCAGATATAACAGTATAAGCCTGGGGCTGGCCCTATGGGGTGTGGTGGGTCTGGGTCTGGGCTGGGACGTGCTGGGCTCTCTGGCCTTCGTCCTGGCCCTCAACTACAAACAGATGGAGCTCTACCACTCCCTGCCCTTCTTCTGCTACCTACTGGGCAAGTGTTTCAAGCAGGGCCTGGCAGGTCGAGGGTGAGTTAGCTAACTTAGACTTACACCCCTGGCTAAGGGGGTTTGTGTGTGTGGTGAGATGATATACAGTGGGGTCTGAAATTGACACCCTTGATAAAGATGTGCAAAAATGACTGTATAAATTATTCAAATACTGAGCTATATTGTATGCTGAAAACTATGGAATTTATATTATTTTATACTAATACAATTGCTCAGAGAAAGAGGTTTTGTTTAACGTTCATATATTTTTTTTCTCAAAAAGGTAGTGGTCAAAATTAGACACTCCTGTTTTCAATACCTTACCTTGCGAGGATAACCGCACTGAGCCTTTTTCTAAAATGTTTTATGAGCGCGAGAACCTATTGGGAGGGATCTGAGTGGCCAAAGAGCTCTATTTTTGATGTCATCTGACCAATGCACCGGTTCCAATCCAAGTGCCAATGCCGTTTAGCAAACTCCAATATTTACATCTGTTGGATGACATGAAAATAGAGCTATTTGTCCACGCACACCAGTGGTGGGTTTGGCGTCGAAATGAGAATGCATGAGCAGAAAAGAACCACATACCATATAACATATAGTGGTGGATCTTTGATGTTATGGGGCTATTTTGCTTCCACTGGTCCTGGGGCCCTTGTTAAGGTCAACAACATCATGAACTTTACCCAGTACCAGGATATTTTAGCCAAATATCTGGTTGCCTCTGCCATGAGGTTGAAACTTGTCCACAAGTGGATCTTCCAGCAAGACAATAACTCTAAACACACATCAAAATCCAAAAATAAATGTTTAATTGACCACAAAATCAACATTTTGCAATGGCCATCTCAGTCTCCGGACTTGAAACCCTTTGAAAACCTGCGGTTTGTTTCAAGTTTTAATGTCACATGCACAAATACAGTGAAATGCAAACTCAAAACCCAACATTGTAATAATCAATTGCAATGTATTACTAGAAAGAAACATGCGAGAAATAAGAAAAATAAATATGAAATACACAATAAAGTAAGGAAATATTTTAAATGTCAGTTCCAATACCATAATTACATGTGGAGGGATACTGAAGTGATGGAGGTAGATACAGTGCATTGGGAAAGTATTCAGATCCCTTGACTTTTTCCACGTTACGTTACAGCCTTATTCTGAAATAGATTAAATTGTTTTTTTCCCTCATCAATCTACATACAATACCCCATAATGACAAAGCAAAAACAGGTTTGTAGACATTTTTGAAGTTATTAAAAATAAAAAACGGAAATATAACATTTATATAAATACTCAGACCCTTTACTCTGTACTTTGTTGAATCACCTTTGGCAGCGATTACAGCCTTGAGTCTTCTTGGGTATGACGCTACAAGCTTGGCACACCTGTATTTGTGGAGTTTCTCCCATTCTTCACTGCAGATCCTCTCAAGCTCTGTCAGGTTGGATGGGGAGCGTCGCTGCACAGCTATTTTCAGGTCTCTCCAGAGATGTTTGATCGGGTTCAAGTCCGGGCTCTGGCTGGGCCACTCAAGGACATTCAGAGACTTGTCCCGGAGCCACTCCTGCATTGTCTTGGCTGTGTGCTTAGGGTCGTTATCCCGTTGGAAGGTGAACCTTCGCCCCAGTCTGAGGTCCTGAGCTCTCTGGAGCAGGTTTTCATCAAGGATCTCTCTGTACTTTGCTCCGTTCATCTTTCCCTCGATCCTGACTAGTCTCCCAGTCCCTGCCGCTGAAAAACATCCCCACAGCGTGATGCTGCCACCACCATGCTTCACCGTAGGGATGGTGCCAGGTTTCCTCCAGACGTGACCCTTGGCATTCAGGCTAAAGAGTTCAATCTTGGTTTCATCAGACCAGAGAATCTTGTTTCTCATGGTCTGAGTCTTTAGGTGCCTTTTGGCAAACTCCAAGCTGGCTTTCATGTGCCTTTTACTGAGGACTGGTTTCCGTCTGGCTACTCTACCATAAAGGCCTGATTTAGTGGAGTGCTGCAGAGATGGTTGTCCTTCTGGAAGGTTCTCCCATCTCCATAGAGGAACTACGTCAGAGTGACCATTTCTCATAGCAAAGGGTCTGAATACTTATGTAAATAAGGTATTTATTTCTGTTTTTCATTTAGAATACATTTGCAAAAATTTCTAAACCTGTTTTCGCTTTGACATTATGGGGTATTGTGTGTAGATTGATGAGTAATTGTTTTTATTTAATCCATTTTAGAATAAGGCTATAACGTAACAAAATGTGGAAAAAGTCAAGGGGTCTGAATACTTTCCGAATGCACTGTATGTATAGGGGTAAGGTGACTAGGCAACAGGATATATGATAAACAGAGTAGCAGCAGCTTGTATGTGAGTGGGTGTGTAGAGTCAGTATAAATATATGTGCATATTATGTGTGAGTGAGATAATGATGGAGTGAGTGTTTGTGTGACAATGTGTGTGAGTGTGTAGGGCCCTGTGAGTGTGCATAGAGTGCAAATATTGAAATAAAAAGTCAATAAATATACAAGGTAAACTCGGTCAGTGAATTGAAGAGGGCAGTCCATAAGCGCAGATCAAGGATAACAAGGAAGGATTCTGTATGGAGGAATGGTCTAAGATCCCTCCCAAAAGCATTAAAGATCAGATTATATTATTTTCATTATTAACATTTATTTGAATCAGCACAATTATTTTTAAAGTAATACCCAGAATCCACCACTTTCTGTAGCCAGTGGACAAAACATGGAAAGTGCTATACAGACTTTTCTGACATGCAAATCAATATTTAATTTCAGAATTGGTTAAAATTAGGTTTGGTTAGGTTACAGTTAACGCTAGTCGGTTTGCAGGTCACAAAAGTCTGTATAGCCCTTCCCACAAAACATGGCCCCATAAAGTATCCTACATTTTCCCCACTCTGCCACTCTCCCAAACAGGCGAGGCAATCAGATTGGATGACTGTTGCTAGTGTCCCCGCATTTGTCTATCTAGTAACAATGTACCATGGACATCTGGTAGCTAATGGATAGCTAGATTATATGGGCAGGGGAAGATATGTCCAGATGACATTATGGCCATGCCCAAGCTCCTCGGCTGTTCCTGTGTGTGCAACTTTATCACCACACAGCTTCTACAGCTGACCTACTGTGAAATACTTTTAGCTGATGCATGGTTTTCACAACATACATTGACTAACTTGGGATGTGGATAGTTCCACTCACAGCTGATGTGCTGAGAGAGATGTGAGATTCAGCCAATGAATACTGTTGACAATATGAATGATCATGTTTCACTGCTTTACAGTACATGTAAACGTAGCCAGTTTTGGGTATCTTAGCCAGTTTTGGGAGTTTATGTTTTGGGACAGTTTTAAAGGTTCGGTGTACTTTATCATTTGTTTCCTCATCCACCACCCACCCAGGTTGTTCCTGCTAGTGAAGATCGCTGTAACAGTCCTGGTGACCTTTGCCCTCTGCTGGTTGCCCTTCCTGTCTGACCCTGGCCAGGTCCTGCAGATGGTGCACCGCCTTTTCCCTGTGGGGCGAGGCCTCTTCGAGGTACGTACTGTGTGATTGAGAGTGACCCCCAAAAAGGTTTCAGTGTTCAAGGCAATTAGTCATACTATCAAGTCAAGTGGTTTCCCTAACATTCTTCGACGTGAGTCACCTAAAGCTTCTAGAATGTTCTGGAGACCAACAGAGTAACCCAAACCAGGTTCTCCACCCACAGCCCAATATTGAGAGACCACACTATCTGCCAAGTCGAAATCAGTTGGTGTTAGAAAGACGAGGAGGTTTAAGGTAGTCAACAAAATGCTGCCCTCGTAGACAGGAGTGGTACGCTGCGCCCCCTGTTCTTCACAGCACAGCCTACATGCTCTTACATACACAACCTGCTACCCTCCATCAATTCCTCTGTGCTTAGCCAATTGGAAATGGATCCCCTGCAGGATCAAAGAAAACAGAGGAATAAAATGGTGAAAGGTCAGAAGATCAGGTTCGGGGGGAGGGGGGGGCATAAAGATAAATCGAACACCTTTACTGCCAGGGTCTTTTCAGCACATCATTGCGGGGCCATGTTTTAGCCATGTGATGCGTGGTTCTGTGCCAAGGGCCAACACTATGCGTGTCAGAGTGCACCCATTCGTTGTGCAAAACGTTGGCAGCTAAACTGCTGCGTCCTTGAAAAACTACTGCATCCTTGAGAAGCGAATTTACACGCGTGTATGTACACCCAGCAAGGCCATACAGGAAGAGAGGGGAGGAGAGGTGCGGAGGGGGGAAATGAAAGACAGACGGACAGCGATGGCTCACACTGGGGACATTCCTTAGAGCATCGCAACACTTCCACGCCGCCGTTGAAAGCGTGTCATGGTCGAGCTGCTGAGGTAAAGCAACACCGTTACTGGGGGGGGTTGGCAGCTCAGAGGCCAAGGCCAGCTGCTCTACTTTTTGAAGCCTGCCCTGTGCCCGCCGTGTGCTGGCACCCAAGGTGCGGTGATTTGTGAAGCAATTGAAAATTAAACAGTCAGCATTGTGCAGACTATGCCACAAGGAAACAGAATCAATAGAACATATTTTCTGATACTGTCGATCAGTGGCTCACTTTTGGATTCAGGTCCAGGAATGGTTGTTATGTCATAATATCAGGTTTCAGATGGACCTGCAAACTGTATTGTTAGGGGATCTGAAAAACCACGATCAGTCAATGGGAAATTGTACTCTTGGGTAAAGTATTTATTTTTAGGGCAATGTCAGTAGAAATGTTACAAATAGGGAGGTTCAGGACCCTTCAGTAGTTCAGTAAGACATCATAGTAAGATGGAGGGATGTATTGTAGAAGGAAATAGCAAAATGGCATTATACTGTGAAAGATGGATTAATCTGTGGACTTGGGAGGGTTGGAGTTAAAATCAGAATGGCATTATACTGGGAAAGATGGGTTAATCTGTGGACTTGGGAGGGTTGGAGTTAAGATCAGAATGAATGGTGGATTGGCCACTGGGTGAAAATCTAGAACCTGCAGAAAAAGGAATTAGGAATATGTGTATAATTATTTAACTACATGCACCGTACATGTGAGCGAAAATAGCGGTAAGTAGCAGTAGAAGTATTGTTGTCCGATCAGGGTAGGGATGGTAGGGGGGAAAGTACAAATAAATAAATATAAGGGGGATTGGAAATGATGCAGACAATTAAATTGATAGAGCCCACAATCTATCTGCAATATTAAAGCTGATCTTTGTGAGGCTGGTCAGGGTGGCCGTATGCGTGGCAGTTATTTGTTTATGAAATGATACAAACATAATACACAAGGTGTGAGTGCCTCTATACCCCACGGAGCGAGGGGCTCCAGGAGAAGCCTGCCTGAACTCATTGTGAAATTGTGCACGTAAGCAGAAGCTGGACTGGGACAAGTGGACAGGGTGAGAAGGGGTGGTGGGGGGAGGAGGAAGGAGGGTAAGTTGTACATTTACCCACGGCGCAGCACTCTGTCCGTCTCTGTTTTCCTGCTTCACAAAAATGGCACCAAATGCTGCAGCCTGTGAAATTCCAAGCTGGCTTATAGGTGAGGAGTGCCGCCAACGGCACTTACCCGCATTTGCAGCCGAAACCCAGGTTCCTGTGTAGCCCTCAGCCCAGGCGGCGTTGGAGGACATTCCGGTAGGGTAGTTATTTGGGGTGGGCTACAGCGGGGCCTCGACGTCGGCAGGACAGACAGCCTGCTGACTGGGCCTGTCTGTAACCTCCACACACACAGCTGTGCTCTGAGCAGCTGTAGCAAGGCCCAGTGGACCACATATAAATTCACCCTATAGAAGAGACCACACTATTACAAGACATGATTAGACTACAGTGTAATCTATGCATTGTATTTCTACGTTGTGTCATATCACAGCCAGTAGAAGCAGCAGGGGGCCTTAACATCTTAATATCTGATCTCAGAACAACTGCTAAGGCCATAAATCACATGAATCACACAGTCAGTCCTCAGTCCTCCATTTCCTGCTAGCTACCCCAAACGCAAAGACCGTCGTTAAGGCAGACATTTTGGATCTGTTTTCCAATGGTCATAACTATGCCTTGGGTGTTGTGGTTGGTGGACACTGGACAGACACTGTGACAGTGTTCTTCTGTGGGGTGGTCTGAATGTGAATGTGCCGAAGTATGCGGAAATTGTCGTAATGTGATTATCTCTGAACATTTAACCCTGTGTCCCCAAGTTTACAAATAAGTGCATAGCTTCTAGTGACATCCCATTCCCTAGCACCTGACGGGCGATTTATGAGGCTGGTAATGCTTCCCGAAGCGCTCCTGTACAAATGCACTGTGGAATGCACAGAAGGAATTCTTATTGCACTTTCAGTTGGGAAATGATCACTTGGAGCAAAAGCCACTTGTTTGCCTTCTCTTCCAAACGGAATGCTTTTTAAAGCAGCGTACTGTCATACCATATTTGTGCTTTTCTACATTTGAAACCCTTGTAATGAGTTTTGTAACTCATTTTAATGATTCACATCGATAATAAACACTTCATTAACAATAAGGAATATGATCAATCTATTGGTTCTGCATCGTTATAGGAAGTGAGCTATGAGACATATTTATTTTCTTATTAGAAAGTGTGTGTGTGTTGACAGGATAAAGTGGCCAACACATGGTGCAGCTTGAATGTCCTAATAAAGATCAAGACCATCCTGTCCACTGATACCCAGCTCTACCTCAGGTAATCCCCCTCTTTATCTCTCCATCTCACGCTCTCTCACAGAGTGAAAATAAGATTATCCCTTGAATACTGAGATACTGATCACTACCAGCTGCTATGGGCACTCTGACAACTATTGGAAATCTGCTGATGAGATTTCAGATTTGGAATGCTAACAGAAACTATTTGAACCATTTCTGTTTGAGAAACAGCAGTTAGCTAACTTCTCTGTGTTGACATGAAGTGTTATGCCAGTCAAAGCTGATTCTCCTCCAAGGTCCTTATGAATGAGAAGATGCTACAGTCAATCAGTCATAGAACCCTTCTCATGTTGTCATGGTGGTGCGTGCTTGAATAACCTGTGGGGCTATATTTAGGGGTGCTGTGTGCACTCTGCACAGGATGCACACCTTTCTGCCAGACTGTTAAGACCAGGGATTAACTGGGACTTCAAGGACTCTAGTGTATTAAAACAAATGAAAACACTAGAGCTTTTTGGCCATGGGTGAATATTATAATAACTATGTTTGGGGGAGGGATACCTTGCTGTAGAATGTGTCATAAAACAATGGATCGCTCGTCTCCTGATCGTTACAATAGAAGTGGACTACTGGATAATGTATTAATGTATATGCATGTTACTACTACGTTTCTGTCAAGACTGTCTCACAACGTAAATAACAGGATGGATCACCTGTGGGACGTTATCTGGGAACTGTATCCCCAAATCACCATGACCCCCACCTCCGTAGCACACCCCTCTTGCCCCGTGTTGGGGGTCCCGATACCCCTCTCCCCAGGGGCCCTTTAGGCCTGATACAGCTGCCCTACCGTACCTCCCTGGCCCCCCTCCCTTCCTGTGTCTCTATCCTCTGTGAGTGACAATTGAAGGGTTAAACTAATGCTGGGTTGCCCTAAGCGAAGCCAGTATTTGGTACATTTCCCACATAGCTGGGGTCTTATGGTTTGACCAGGCTGGGTTAAAACAAGCCTGCAGTAGAGCAGCCGCACGGTTGAGTTTAACCCCGAAGGTTAGGTTTCAGGGCTGGGCCCTTCACTGTTTAGACAGATTGATCATAGTCTTGTTGATAGATTACATCATTCTTCTGTTATTGTTTTGTTTTCAGTTTGACCGCCACTCTCCTGGCTATCCTACCTTCATCTATAAAACTGTTGATGAAACCTACATTCTGGCAGTTAAAACTTGCCTTGGTAAGTGAGTATTTTTGTACTTTTTACTGATGTTTGATTACAGAGAATGGTGTAATGCTAACCTGTGTAAACTGTCATTTCAGGTCAACTCCTCTCTGGCATTCTTCCTTTTCTCCTTCCAAGTCCACGAGAAATCAATCCTCCTGCCTGCCTTGTGAGTAGAGGGGAGGAGTAGGGGTGTGTGTTCGCATGCGTGTGTGCCTTCCTGGCTGCATGCGGTTCATAATCATTTAACTCACCGACTGCAGTGCAGTATGTAAAAAGCAACAGGCAGCTGTAATCGCTAGGCTATCAAGGTTTTACTGAGCGGTGGGATTTTGTTACAGATTTTGCTGATCTAATCATCTAGATTAGGCTGATTTGTTGCTTTATTAACTATTGAGTTATATCTCCCACCTGTCTGTCCCTGAATCAGTCAGTAATGCATGTCCAGGGATTAGGGAGGAACACCGGGCTGTGGAGAAGAGGAGGAGGACATTGTTTGTGGTGGATCAATTATTGGGGCTATAGGAATGGGTGTAACTGGACACGCAAACAGGAGTTGGAACCGATTCAGGGAACATAACTGTATTTTATTTATTTTTAATTTTTTGGGGAACAGAATCAGAACGAAAGTGATCTATACTGTTCTGGAACAGAACCGTTATTTTAAAAGTATGGGAACCTGTTAATAACGTTATTTTATGTTGCGGGCATTTTGTTGGGGTCCCACAACAAGGCGCCTATGCAAAGCCCTCACACACAAGCTTGTTAGCTAGCTCTGGTCCAACTTTAAGCCAACTCTCGGAAGTCCATAGACATTCAAAGTTCCTCTGTAGAATCTGCTACTCCGTAGGTATAATTCTGAGAGCATAATTCAGATAATGCATGTCATAAAAAGATGCCCAGCGCTTCAAGCCAAGCCTCCTCCACCCTCTCTCGGTCTCTCCCTACCCGCAAAATTTCATTCGCATATCGCGCCCTACACTTGTCTGTCCATCGCACATGTAAACAGCTATAGCCTAGGCGGCCGATAGCGCCCATGCACTATCGGCTGCCTAGGCTAAAACAACTATAGCTTGCCCGCTCCATAGCAAGCTGCTCTATTCGCAGTGCTTGGTGAAGTAATTGAATGTTGAGCTAATGTAAAAAAAAAAAAAATTATTTCAGGTTTAAAAAGGAACGATATAAAACTGTACTTTTTTTGTGTTCGAACCGGTCCAGAACTTTATTTTGGAACAGTGGAACGAAACAGAAAAAATAATGGTTCTGTTCAGAACTAAACGATTAGATTTTTTGGGGTTCAATCCCCTGCACACAAAGACTACTACTGTAATTAGAAGCTCTGGGAGCGATGGGCACCCTATTCCCTATATAGTGCACTACTTTTGACCAGGGCCCATATTGTTTGTTGTTAAATAAAGTGTGTATAACTTAAGTGTGTGTAACCCTTTCTCCTCTAATACTTTGTGTCTGCCTCCAGGCCAGTCTGCCTGCTACTGAATGACCTCCCTCTGCCAGCCATCTGGTTTCTACAGGCTTCCACCTTCAGGTAGGAAGCTACAGTAGGGGAAACTATAGTGGACCAATAACAACAGACCAGGTTAAAGGTCATAGGAGAGACCGTTCGATAAAAAGTACAATCTTGTACATTAAATGTAACTTGTAAAAATCGCTGTTAGCAAAATCCTCAAAAAGTATAGGATGCTCTGTCAGATGAATTTTTTTGTGTTGATATTCTTTGGAGGATTTTATTTGTGAAGAGTCAAGAAAATATAAAAATGGAGTCATTGTAAAGGGAGCAGTCAGAGAGGAGATGAAGCTGACTACTAAGTTAGTACTACTAACTTTCACCCTAGCTGTCGTTAAATTCTTCCGGCAGTACTAATTGTTGTGTGCGTGGTTTAGTGTAGGGATATCTGTGGATTACACTGCATAGTCAACATACCTCTTCTCTAAGCATGTTTTGGGACAGCAGGGCATTCTATGGGCCTCTAGAACTGTCTAACTGGCATGGCTCGCATTGTGCATCTCCACTCCACCCATTGTTGAAGACATACACTACATGACCAAAAGTATGTGGACGCCTGCTCGTCATTCCAAAGTCATTAATATGGAGTTTGTCCCCTCTGCTGCTAAAACAGCCTCCACTCTTCTGGAAAGGCTTTCCACTAGATGTTGGAATATTGCAGCAGGGACTTGCTTCCATCCAGCCACAAATGCATTAGTGAGGTCAGGCGATTAGGCCTGGCTCGCAGTCGGCGTTCCAATTCATCCCAAAGGTGTTCGATGGGGTTGAGGTCCGGGCTCTGTGCAAGCAGGTCAAGTTTTTCCACACCGATCTCAACATACCATATCTGTATGGACCTCGCTTTGTGCACGGGGGAATTGTCATGCTGAAACAGGAAAGGGCCTTCCCCAAACTGTTGCCACAAAGTTGGAAGCACAGAATCGTCTAGAATGTTATTGTATACTGTAGCGTTAAGATTTCCCTTCACTGGAACTAAGGTGCCTAGCCCGAACCATGAAAGACAGCCCCAGGCCATTATTCCTCCTCCACCAAACTTTACAGTTAGCACTATGCATTGGTCCAGATAGCTTTCTCCTGGCATCCGCCAAACCCAGATTAGTCCGCCGGCCTACCAGATGGTGAAGCGTGATTCGTCACTCCAGAGTCCAATGGCGGAGAGCTTTACACCACTCCAGTCAACGCTTGGCATTGCGCATGATCTTAGGCTTGCGTGCGGCTGCTCGGCCATGGAAACCCATTTCATGAAGCTCCCGACGAATAGTTATTGTGCTGACGTTGCTTCCAGAGGCAGTTTGGAACTCGGTAGTGAGTGTTGTAACCGAGGACAGACAATTTTTACACGCTTCAGCACTGGGCGGTCCTGTTCTATGAGCTTGTGTGGCCTACCACTTCGCGGCTGAGCCTATGTTGCTCCTAGACGTTTCCACTTCACAATAACAGCACTTACAGTTGACCGGGAGAAATTTGATAAACTGACTTGTTGGAAAGGTGGCATCCTATGACGGTGCCACGTTGAAAGTCACTGAGATCTTTAGTAAGGTCATTCTACTGCCTATGTTTGTCTATGGAGATTGCATGGCTGTGTGCTCGATTTTATACCCGTCAGCAACGGTGTGGCTGAAATAGCCGAATCCACTAATTTGAAGGGGTGTCCACATACTTTTGTATGTATAGTGTACATCTTTTGTTTGGGTAAATTGAAGACATGATTGCATAATTTAGTCAAATGGTTGCTTAAGCACAGTTATTGTAAGAGCATCTGAATGTATTATAGGTATTTTGCCAATGGATGGGGTTTTGTTGGATTTAAGTAGGCCCTACTAAGGCTGTGTTTTAGGCTACATTGTTCTTGTATTCTCTCCCTCTGCAGCATGCTGCCGTTGTTTCTGAAGGATGGTTTGTTGGTGCCGTATGTCGTCACCTCCCTGGCCTTCCTGTTCTTCTCTGTCTACCTGCTCTCGGCCCTGGAGCACTGCTCAGAGGACAAGCTACGTCTGGGGCCCTACCGCCGCCTCCTCCTCATCTGCATGCGCCGCATGGACCTCGGCAGAGTCACCAAGTGGAAAGTAAGTGTGGCCTAGTGGTGTGAACAAATACCCTTTCACATTGCACTACCCCATATGCCTGTCATCATTCATTCATAGCAAGAAATGTATCAGATTGCAAAGCAAACTCTTTATCTGGATAGTCCATCTGTAGATGCTCTACATACTATCAGTAACATTTCATCTATCTACTAACCACAGCCTTTATCCTAACCTTAACCCATAAACAGATAGTCCAGATTTTCCATCTTCATACTATCCAAATAAAGTGTGACCCAGATTGTTTTACCAGGCAGATAGTTGCAATGTTGTCTGTCTGTTCTAGTAGTGGGTAGGGCAGGGGTGCTCCAATATTTTCTTTACCTTACTCAAGTTAGTAGGGAGATGAGCTGATTTAGATTTTATTTGACAATTTGAAATACAAAAAAAAAGCCACACCAGGCAAAAAATACATGTACCAAAATGACAGAGGATTATATACACAAAAAGACTAAACATTGTGGTCCTCTATTAACTGGTGATCAGAAGCTTGTTGTCAGTTTCCTAATAGTCTTAGGTGGTAGCTACATACTTGAGCACAGCAGCTCTAACCCTAACCTGAATGGCATCAGCGTGAGAAGATATACATCTCTCCAACTGGATAAATAAAGATCATGTGCCACTGTACTGTAAGCCGTTTAGGCTGCCTGGGATGGGAAAGAGGATACCTAGTCATTTGCACAACTGAATGCATTCAACTGAAATGTGTGCTCAGGGAGCAGTTGTTGTTGGGGCCTTGCTCAAGGGCAGAACGGCAAATTTTTCTCTGGGATTCGAACCAGTGACCTTTCGGTTAATGGCCCAACACTTAACCGCTAAGCAACCTGCCGGATGAAAGCCACTGCCAGGCCCCAAGTATTATTTATCACTTATTTAAGTTACAGGCATCTCTGAAGTGCCTGCCTGGCCCTGGCCAACTCTGCTGCTGCACCATCCCCTCCTTTAGAGACAGATGGGAGGGGGGGGAAGCATCCCAAATGGCACCCTATTCCCTATATAGTGCACTACTTATGGCAAGAGGACTCTGGTCAAAAGTAGTGCACTATATAGGGAATAGGATGGGCCATTGGGATGGGTGCCATTTGGGATTGGGACATAGCCAGAGACACCGCCACCAGACGGAGCTGTGCGAGATCAGAAGGTGTCTTTTTATAGAGTCATTAACAGAGGTTTGCTTAGACATATTTATTTATACAAGAGGCGTAAATAAGGATGCCCAGTGATGGGTCTAGGGTTTCATGGGGTTGGTCTCATACGGAGGTGCTTACCGCCACCTACCCTCACTGATCCCTGGGTCCCAAATAGACATGTTGATCCTTCTACCAACACTCTGTTTGCCTTTCCGTTCGGGACACACCGGACTGGGCTAAAATAAACATCAGCTTGTGATGAGGGATGGTCATGTGATGTCTAAAAAATTGTGTTTTCGTCTTGTCTAGTTTGAGTAGTTATGACTAGGGCCCAGGAAATACTTGTTTATTTAATTAATAAAGCCCATCTAAATAGATAATTGATCAATTTGAATCCCTTGTCAAGTTCACTTTCTGATTAGACTGGAATTGAAATCGAAATTTGAGGCCCACTACTGGGCTGTGAGAGGGCCTTGGCTCTTGGCTTATATCCTGTGATGGCTTAACTCCCTTGAAAAAGAAGGAACTGAACTCTCTCTCAATCTCTCCTGCAGTTCTATTGTTCCATCATGGCCATGGCTGGTTTGAGCTTGATGAGCGTGGTGCTGGCCCCTCCGGCCCAGCTGCCTGATTTGTTTCCACTCCTGGTGTCTGTGTTCTCATACCACCACTTCCTGGGCCTCTTCCTCTACTTCAACATTGTCCAGATTGCCGAGCCGCCACCACCTGGGAGGAAGAACCAGAAGAAAAGTAACTGAGTAATTATAAGGGAGGAAGAACCAGAACTGAGTAGTCATTAGGGTGGAAAAATCTGAAGAACTGTGTAGTCGCCACCCAGCTGAAAGAGAGAACTTACTAAGCACAGTGCTTCAGTCAATGAGCGCCATAGACCAATAAGGCTCATGAACCAACTACCAGACTAAGGCCAATCATTTAGAATCTTTATTTTCTAGAGAGAACCCTCCTGAATGGTTGCTGTTTTGTCAGTGCCTAATTATGTACATCAAGCTTAGAATTCATTTTTTTACTTGACTGTTCAATATTTTCAAATGTTTGTATCATCATTACAATTATTTTGTACCAATTGAGTATGTCTTGAAAAATAAAATCACCTCATGAATTCTTGGTGAACCTGGATTTTACAGCCATAATGCCAGCACAGACTGGATCCGTCCGAAGCAGTTTCAAATAAAATCCAGTGTCCATCTTCTCCTCGTCTCCCAGCTAGCTAAATCACTGACGGTAATAGTGTTGCAGTATGTCATAGCCAGACAATAATGAGCCAAACCATGTCTTCCAACCATTTAATTTAGCTTAAAAAATATTAATAACAAAAATGTTTTTGTCATTTAGCAGACGCTCTTATCCAGAGCAACTTACAGTTAATGACTCCATACATTTTCATACTGGCCCCCCGTGGGAATCGAACCCACAACCCTGGCATTGCAAATGCCATGCTCTACCAACTGAGCTACACGGGGCCTACAACACCTAGATACAATTTAATTTTAACCCTTATTTTACCAGGTAAGTTGACTGAACACATTCTCATTTACAGCAACAACCTGGGGAATAGTTACAGGGGAGAGGAGGGGGGATTAATGAGCCAATTGGAATACAAGGAGAGAGTCCACATAGCACACAAAGGGCTATGCATTTAAACACAAAAAAGCAGTGGCAGGTCAGACAGGCCCTAAAACAAGGATGATGGAAGATGACATATCTGAACATAATGTCATAAAGCTGAAATACCACAGAAAAAAAAAAAACAGTACAAGCAATCTTTCCCCCTCTGCCTGTGAGTTAATGACAGCCATTAAAAAAAATCCATTCCAACTATAAATGTTATCGGGTCACTGAGGGCCGGCTGCTATGCTGTATATCTGCAGCCGCTGGCCTGGCCCTGCATCCTAGAACACCAGAGAGGGAAGGCTGAGATAAGCAGAGGCCTGTGGCTTTAACATTACTACTGTGGATCGACTGGGAGGAAGGTAGTCTCTAGACAGACGGGTTGCAATGCTCCAGTTTAACATGGAGGACGAGTCACGGGTAACGTCACTGCCGCATCCGCTTCATGCACCACAGTCAAATGAAGAGTGGTGGGCTGGCGACGGGGGGACGTGGGACCCTCTAGGAGGAAAGGGTTAGTGGGGTAGAGGTCTAAGGTGATGGGGGTAGGAGGCAAGCTGGAGGTGGTGGGTTGGAGTAGTGGGAGAGGTGGCGGGCGGGGGAGGGGGTAAGACCGCTAAGGGGGCCCTCTCCCACCTCCAGAGGGCCAGTATGAAAACATTTAGTTTTGTTTATGGGCGTGCTCGCTTTGTCCTTCACACGGCCTCCAAGGCTGATAAAGTGAGAGTTATATGATCCACCTTGGGCAGAAATAGGAAATGTGCCTGTGCACACCAGCTGTTGCTTAGGTCGCTCAGGCTGCAAGAGGCCCTCGGCCCAGAGAACGAAGGGTGTGTGTGTGCAGTAGCCTCTCATCAGAGCCTCTATTCCGGTTTCCTTTACCTTTCGAGGTAGCTAGAGGAAATGGTGGGGGTGGATTTCATATAGCATCAGGTCTAATGGGACGAGGACGTTCGCTCAATGAAAGAACATTTTCGCAGAGCTGCATAGCGGCAGTTATTGTAGAGTCAACATTTGTCAGCGGTGAGGGAGAGGCTCTCTCCAGCAGACAGGGCTCAGTGTAAACGTGTCTGATGTCTAAGGCTGCCTTTTTACTTTCTGACTGACAGGCAGCCTCCGAGACGTCTCTCTGCCTCACAAATGACAGCTTAGATTGAAAGAAGGCAGAGCTGCTATTCCATTTTCCGTGTCGTTCTGTTGAGAGTTCAGTTGAGCGGCTCTCATAGCAGAAACCTGCAGGGGGACGTCACAGGGGAAAACATGAGTGTAACCCAGCTGTCTGTTACACAGTAATGCAATATCACCACACAATAGGAAGACATATTGACTAGTGACTCATGTAGCTATAGTAGGAGCAAACAAAGAAGTAATGTGTGATGACAATTTCACACTGTGTGTTAGAGTATAATGGATCTTTAAACTTGATTTAGAAAAAGAGAGATAAAGCTATAGGCTCCATCTGTTGTTGTTGTACCTTTATAAGCCCATTATGGATTTCAGGAAGTCAGAGGAGCTGCCAGTCTGGACAACACCTGTAGAGAAAATAATTCATCACTCAGGGAATAAATACAGTACTAACTTCTCTCAGAGCGCTACCGTTCACAACCAGACAAATCTGTAGGCTTAAGTGGTTTGATTTACTAGTGAAATACAGATATTTGTTGTTAAATACTCACCTAATTGATTAAAGTTGTAATAATATTACCGGAGGGAGATTTAAAATATATATATATATATTTTTCACTGGAGGACAAAATCCAAACGACGGAAATCATATCTGAAGGAATGCGTAGTCTGCTACCTCTGGGGATCGAACTGAGTGCAGCCAGGCTTCAGTTTTCATCAAAACAGCCTCTAATATAATATATAGCTCTGTTTTTTAATTACAGCTGTGTGTTTAATCAAAAAGCCTAAAACTCCAACCAAGCAGGTGGCATGTGTCTGAGGAAGAGAGGATTGATGTGTTAGATGGTGGTGAGGCCGGGCCTTAGCCCCGGACCTGGGACACCACCCCATCGCTTTTATTACATTTAAGGAATCCTGTCTTTAATACACCCCATTACTGCTGTGCTGACATACAAATCTTCCCCAACATGGACCCATCTATGGCCTGATCAATTTTTATATTGCTGAGCAGCCCCCGTTTTCATTTTTACATCTCAAAATTCATATTATATAGGATCTTCTTATGGAAAAATGGCAATAAAAATATGTTACTGCCCAGCGTGTCAGTGGGTTGCCCATGACTAAATGCTTCTGAGAAAATAAAATGTGTTTCTGTAGTAAGCAGATCTGTTTAAATGTTATTTATTTTTATGCTTCTAAGAAAATATATTGTGAAGTGCAACATTGATTTAGAACATAACAATATCTCTGTACTGGTCGGAGGGAGAATTTACGAATCCTTTGCACAACTCCTTTAATTGAATTTTCCAAATCTCTCACCACACACAAATAATCAATACCTTCTGCTGAGGGGAACTTGCCTCAGAATTATTATGGCCTTCGCTTTACGATTCTGTAGTCATCAGCAAATACAGGCAGGAGTCCTCCCTACTGGGGTATTTGTAATGCCTGGACAACCCTGTGGATTTATGTCTGCCTGAACCCTGATTGCTCACAAAATGGGACTTCTCCAGAACGCTTACCGAAACTTTTGTTAACCTTAAAGAATGTCCGTAAGCGCTTCTCAACACCAGGGCAGGCACTCTGAAAAAAGAAAAAAAAGGAAGCTGCTGTCTGAAAGTCACCCTAAGAGGGAAGCAGGGAGGAGGTAGGGAAGCAGGGAGGAGGTAGGGAAGCAGGGAGGAGGTAGGGAAATGATCTGACCCTAAGAGGGATGCAGGGAGGAGGAAGGGAAATGATCTGACCCTAAGAGGGAAGCAGGGAGGAGGTAGGGAAGCAGGAAGGGAAATGATCTGACCCTAAGAGGGATGCAGGGAGGAGGAAGGGAAATTATCTGACCCTAAGGGGAAGCAGGGAGGAGGAAGAGAAATGATCTGGCCCAGAGGGAAGCAGGGAGGAGTGGGAAATTATCTGACCCTAAGGGGAAGCAGGGAGGAGGAAGAGAAATGATCTGGCCCAGAGGGAAGCAGGGAGGAGTGGGAAATTATCTGACCCTAAGAGGGAAGCAGGGAGGAGTGAGGAAGTAGGGAAATGATCTGGCCCTAAGAGGGAAGCAGGGAGGAGTGACGAGGTAGGGAAATGAAGTGGGTTCAGAGGTTTGGACGTCAAAGTTAAAATATTATTGTTGATTGACTCCGCTGCCTTGGCAGTGTGTGGCCTGGCGCTGTACTGACCTATGCTGCTTGAGGCATTGCTTGGCCCCTGAGACAGTGTCAGTCTCACAGCCCAGATCTAAGAGCTGGTGTCATCTCAACACGGCTCAGGTAACAATGGGTGACCCTCTCCATCTCCAGTCATGTGATTAGATGAGTTTATTAGTCACATGCACATAGTCGCAGATGTAAATGCATGGTACAGTGAAATTCTTAAGCTCCGAGCAGTGCAGGTCAAAAAGAGAAGTGAATGAAACAATAATATCAATAATAACATACATATTTACAACTGTAACAATGATAAATGTCCATTGGAGGGTGGGATAAGTCCAGGGGACAGGGGGAGCAGTTAGCTGCCTAGTGGTGGCTATTCAGCAGCCTGATGGTCCGGGAGTAGAAGCTATTGGCCAGTCTGTCAGTTTTTGCCATGATGCTCCTATACTGCCTATGTCTGAGTGATGGAAGTCGGGAGAACAGGCCGTGGCTCAGGTGGCTGCGGTCCTTGATGATCTTCTTGGCCTTCCTGCGACACCTGGTGTTGTAGGTGTCCTGCAGGGCAGGCAGTGTGCACCCAATGGTGTGTTTGGCTGAGCATACCGCCGTCTGTAGAGCCTTGCGGTCAGCGGCGGTGGAGTTTCTGTACCAGGCTGTGATGCAGCCCTACAGTATGCTCTCGATGGTGCTCCTGTAGAACACTGGGAGGGCCCTCGGGGACAGGCCGAATTTCTTCAGCGTCCCTGAGTTTGAAGAGTCACTGTTGTTCCTTCTTCACCATGGTGTCCATGTGGTTTGACAATTTCAGCTCCTCGAAGAAGTGTACACCGAGGAACTTTAAGTGTTTGACTGTCTCCACGACGGCCCCGTTGATGAGGATTGGGTCGTGTCCAGCCTGGTTCCTCCTGAAGTCCACAATTAGCGCCTTTGTTTTGCTGACATTGAGGGAGAGGTTGTTTACCTGGCACCATGCCGTCAGAGTGCCTACCTCCTCCCTGTAGGCCGTCTCGCCGTTGTTGGTGATCAGGCCTACTACGGTCATGGAGTTGGAACTGTGTGAGGCCAGGGAGTACAGGAGGGTCATGAGGACGCACCCTTGTGGGGCCCCCGTGTTGAGTCATGCTCTAGTCACAAAGCAGAGCAGGATGCCTAGGGCTTTCCCTTTTACCAGGCACTCTCTGGAACGCTGTAGTGTAGTCACTGAAAACAGGAAGCTTAGCTCACAGAACTCAGCAGGCGTTTTCTACTTTTCCAGCCACACAATATGACCCTTAGTTCTGTGAATTAGTTAACAGAGTGTCTTTGAACTGCATCATTTTGACCCATATTGAGCGGTTTTTCTTAACTACAACTGTTTGTTTGTTTTACGGCAGCCTATCAGCTTTTCCTGGAGAGTGTAGGCAGAATAATCCAATCACCAAATCGGATTTGTATGACATTGCATTCATTGTGGACTAACTGACTACATGAAAAGCTGACAGTTAATTAAAAGAGAACTTATCAAACCTAGAAATCAATCACTCTGGTGACATCCTCAGAAGGGCTGATTTAGGTCAGATTTACATTCTTATCTACTACTATTGTAAAATACGATATTTTACCCATCACCCCGTGAAACACACACCCAAACTTATAGTAGCCGCGAGGATGTAGGCTTACGTAAACAATCTGTCACAGCAGTTACCATCTTCCACAGCCCTCTGTTACACTTTAGATCAATTATAAAGCAATGGAGTGCATTCTTAAATCTAGCCTACTGGTCAGAACTGAGTAGTCAGAACTGCTAAATGAATAAAAATAACTAGAAATATAATGCAGGTTGAGAAGAATGCAGTCTGACAAAAGCAGTTACACTTTTCAGGGAGTCTTACACCTTTCCATGCATTTAATACATGAACCCACGGCCTGAATGACACAGCCGGCGAGTCTAAACAAACATTTTACACTGGGAAGCAGAACCATGCCTCCGTCAGCCACCATGACACGAATCACCATCATCTTTCTGGATTTCACGCTCCCTCCTATGGGCCAGCACTCCGCTCTCCTCCTCCTCTGCCTTGAATAACAGTTTACTTTAAATGTGTCTCAAGACAACAGAGGAGCTATTATCTTCCCCTAGCTATTGACTTTGTTGCGAACTTAGTTGTTGTAAGGGGGTTTATGCACAACCATTACATTTCACGCTCCACCATGTGATAGAAAATGTGACATTCCTCTGGTGTGGGCCACAAGGCAACACGTTAGGCTTCTTCATTGTAACTAATGAAAACAATTTTCAACGACCTTATCAGAAAACAAGCCCGACTTCCCTGACAATCCCCCTATTCATTTTCCACAAAATCACCATTATGTGATTGGATCACAAGTATAGCTTTGCTGGAGGCATGTGTGCCTGAAATAATCAAATTAATTATCTGGCTGGGAAATCGAACAAATGACTGTTGGGAAAACAAAATGTTGTTTTTCTCCAAAGATTACAGTTTTTATTGGAAAATGGAGACAGACACATTGAGATTAAATGAATAATGGATAAATGGTGATAAAGAAATAGGCCTAGTAGTAGATCAGATCAAATCCTAGTAGATGTCTCCGAGTTAGAGCTGTCTGTAGCCCCCAGCCTGTCTATTGTGACTGCATTCAAACCTACCACACCCCTGTCAACCAGCTTATACAGTTGAAGTTAGGTTGGAGTCATTAAAACTCTTTTTTCAACCACTCCACAAATTACTTGTTAACAAACGATAGTTTTGGCAAGTCGGTTAGGACATCTACTTTGTGCATGACACAAGTCATTTTTCCAAAAATTGTTTACAGACAGATAATTTCACTTATAATTCACTGCATCACAATTCCAGTGGGTCAGAAGTTTACATACCCTAAGTTGACTGTGCCTTTAAACAGCTTGGAAAATTACAGAAAATGATGTCATGGCTTTAGAGGGTTCTGATAGGCTAATTGACATCATTTGAGTCAATTGGAGGTGTACCTGTGGATGTATTTCAAGGCCTACCTTCAAACTCAGTGCCTCTTTGCTTGACATCATGGGGAAAGCAAAAGAAATCAGCCAAGACCTCAGAAAAAAAGAAATGGTAGACCTCCACAAGTCTGGTTCATCCATGGGAGCAATTTCCAAACGCCTGAAGGTACCACGTTCATCTGTACAAACAATAGTACGCAAGTATATACACCATGGGACCACGCAGCTGTCATATCGCTCAGGAAGGAGACGCGTTCTGTCTCCTAGAGATGAACGTGCAAATCAATCCCAGAACAAAAGCAAAGGACCTTGGGAAAATTATCTATATCCACAGTAAAACGAGTCCTATATCGACATAACCTGAAAGGCGGCTCAGCAAGGAAGAAGCCACTGCTCCAAAACCACCATAAAAAAGCCAGACTACAGTTTGCAACTGCACATGGGGACAAAGATCGTACTTTTTGGAGAAATGTCCTCTGGTCTGATGAAACAAAAATAGAACTGTTTGGCCATAATGACCATCATTATGTTAGGAGGAAAAAGGGGTTACTTGCAAGCCGAAGAACACCATCCCAACCGCGAAGCACGGGGGTGGCAGCATCATGCTGTGGGGGTACTTTGCTGCAGGAGAGACTGGTGCACTTCACAAAATAGATGGCATCACAAGGAAGGAAAATTATGTGGATATATTGAAGCAATATCTCAAGACATCAGTCAGGAAGTTAAAGCTTGGTCTCAAATGGGTCTTCCAAATGGACAATGACCCCAAGCATACTTCCAAAGTTGTGGCAAAATGGCTTATGGACAAGGTCAAGGTATTGGAGTGGCCATCACAAAGCCCTGACCTCAATCCTATAGAACATTTGTGGGCAGAACTGAAAAAGTGTGTGCGAGCAAGGAGGCCTACAAACCTGACTCAGTTACACCAGTTCTGTCAGGAGGAATGGGCCAAAATTCACCCAACTTATTGTGGGAAGCTTGTGGAAGGCTACCCGAAACGTTTGACCCAAGTTAAACAATTTAAAGGCAATGCTACCAAATACTAATTGAGTGTATGTAAACTTCTGACCCACTGGGAATGTGATGACAGAAATAAAAGCTGAAATAAATCATTCTCTCTACTATTATTCTGACATTTCACATTCTTAAAATAAAGTGGTGATCCTAACAGACCTAAGACAGGGAATTTATACTAGGATTAAATGTCAGGAATGGTGAAAAACTGAGTTTTAATGTATTTGGCTAAGGTGTATGTAAACTTCCGACTTCAACTGTGTGAACAAGTGGAACAAAACATGTTTCTTTACTGTTCCCTCATTTAAAGCGTAAATCTGCGATTGCTACATCCATATACCCATTGATTGTTGAATATAACGTATGAATGCCTCATGAGCTTAGTTCAACTGTCGTACCACAGAACTCAAAATACAAGCTTGTTTTACTCCTTTGTAAACATTGCAATTGTAAACAAAACATGCCTAAAAACATGGGTAAACTAATTTTTATTTAATGGATGGTCAGTCCTTGCATACATTGCTCTGTGAATTTGAGTGGTTACATTTCTCTAGCCCCATCCCTCAGCTATTTACCATAACACTGGCTGGGTGATCGCTTTGTAATTGTTTGAACTGTAGATTGCCCCTTTAAGGAATACTAGAGAAAGGTCACCATCATAATAACATCTGATAATCTAATTACAACCCAATTCAGTACAGGAAATATCTCATCTGAATGTATGGACAAGAAAATGCAACTATTCGTTTTATGGTGTCGTTATCAGATTGGTCAAAAGGAGAGGCGCCCACACACTGATACACTTTCTATTTTAGATGCTGCTCATGTTTTGGCCCTATTGACCTTCCTCAGAGCACATTATCTCATCATAAAATGTTATTTAAAAGTTATAAACACCCCCAACCACACTTGGTAGAAAATAATCTGAGATAATATGGTTGTGTCAATAAAGTATTGTTAATCCTAAACACCTTAAAAGTTTATTACATAATTAGAGTAGAAATTACCTTGCAAACGGCTCTGGCCAGCACCATTCACTCTGAGGCAGGACTCTGCTTTGGATGCTGAAAATACATGTTCCAAATCTCATAATTTTGAACAACAACAAGCACACTGACAAATAGAAACAAAATATTTTACAACCATTTATTTGCCCTAACTAACCCCTGGCCCCAACTAACTAGTCAATAGTAAGTAACTAAATCTAGTTTACAAACTAAACTAACACGACATGTAAATTCTAGGGACTACTGCTTTTTCAGTGTAATACTTGACTTAGTTCCACTATAGCAGGGGTCGGCAACAGGTGGCCCGCGGGCCAAAACCGACATGTAAGTGATTTTTGTTTGGCCTCCCAACGTTTTTAGTAAAAATAATAATCATAATAATTGGGGGAGATTTCAGTTTTGGGGTAAAAAAAGACACTAAGATCACTAGGAATTCAGCTCAAAATGAGTTTAATTTAGTAAATCTGGGTGGGCATAGGCCCAACAAACGTGGGAGCCAGGCACAGCCAATCAGCGTGAGTTTTTCCCCACAAAATAGCTTTATTACAGAAATAAATACTTGTCAGTTTCATCAGCTGTCCAGGTGGCTGGTCACAGATGATCCCGCAAGTGAAAAAGCCAGATGTGGCGGTCCTGGGCTGGCATGGTTACACATGGTCTGTGGTTGTGAGGCCAGTTGGACGTACTGCTAAATTCTCCAAAACGACGTTGGTGGCGGCTTATGGTAGAGAAATGAACATTCAATTCTCTGGCAACAGCTCTGGTAGACATTCCTGCAGTCAGCATGCCAATTACACGCTCCCTCAAAACTTGAGACATCTGTGCCATTGTGTTGTGTGATAAAACTGCACATTTTAGAGTGGCCTTTTATTGTCCCCAGCACAAGGTGCACCTGTGTAATGATCATGCTGTTTAATCAGCTTCTTGATATGCCACACCTGTCAGGTGGATGGATTATCATGGCAAAGGAGAAATGCTCAATAACAAGAGTGTAAACAAATTTTGTGCACAACATTTGAGAGAAATAAGCTTTTCGTGCGTATGGAAAATTTCTGGGATATTTTATTTCAGCTCACGAAACATGGGACCAACACTTTACATGTTGCGTTTATATTTTTGTTCAGGATAATTATGTTCCGGCCCCCATCTGACCATCTGCTCCGACAAAAATCAGCTTGCGGCTTAATCTAGTTGCCTACCCCTACACTATAGCTTATTGAATGACCCTTGTCATCATACCATATACTGTATGGTTATACTATAATAATAATAATAATAATAGCCATTTAGCAGACGCTTTTATCCAAAGCGACTTACAGTCATGCGTGCATACATTTTTTGTGTATGGGTGGTCCCGGGCATTGAACCCACTACCTTGGCGTTACAAGCGCTGTGCTCTACCAGCTGAGCTACAGAGGTGGTTAAATCCCCACTCACCAAGTTCTCTGTGCCTCCTCAGTTCGGTCTTCAGGTCAGCAGAGCCCCTAGAAAAGAAACTCTTCAGCTCACTGCTGCCCTCTGCAGCCTGATGATGGCAAAAACAATACATCATCATACTCAGATCGATATGAAAAGGGTGAGCAGTTCCTTAACATCACAAATATAAACGGTCCCTACAATGCATGCAATGACCTGAAAATACCAGAGTAAAATCAAGGTTTAGGCTATCATATACTTTAACTCAAACTGGAGCTATGATGGAAGCACTAAAATGTCATTTTTCACCGATAGGGAAATTAGACAAAACATTTTTAACTTACCACTATTGTCTCCAGCTCTTGCCTTGCCTTGATAAATGCTCCAACTGATGCTTCCAGTTTAGAGCTGATGGCATGTAGTCTGGTCCAAATTAATTAAGGTAAGGTCCAAATGAACAAAGTGTTAAATGCATTAAAATCACAGGTTAGAGATATAGGACTATACTACTGATATAGTTAAAACTCTCATAATAATATCCCCTGATGACAGCATGTCTAGTCTATCAAATACGTCATGACCATATTTGAATGGTAACATTTAAATAGATCCCTCTTAAATGACTGCACTATAAAATTCAAAACTAATGCTTGTCTTGATGGATAGAATGGACTCAAAATGGGTATGCTTTGGGGAAGGAAATTACCCTTGTCTTAAAGTACTCTTAACCAACTATTTTTAGTGCTATGTAAATCACTGATAATTTGGCCAATGATGAATCCACTTCATTGCATGTCTCCTGTCATTAAATTATGATTCGTCATAATGACCATCAGCCAAGTGTGGCAATTGAAATATCCACCGATAATAAAAAGGGAGACATCCCCTTCTTTCCTAGTATCAGAATAAATAGGTTTTCTTTTTGGTTTGCACACCTGAAATCTTCAAACAGGAAGTTATTCTATACTGAACAAAAATTGAAAAATGCAACATGTAAAGCATTGGTCCCATGTTTCATGAGCTAAAATAAAAGATGCCAGAAATGTTCCATACTCACAAAAAGCTTTCTTCTCTCATATGTTGTGTACACATTTGTTTACATCCCTGTTAGTGAGCATTTCTCCTTTGCCAATGTATTCCATCCACCTGACAGGTGTGGCATATCAAGAAGCTGATTAAACAGCATGATCATTACACAGGTGCACTTGTGCTGGGGACAATAAAAGGCCACTAAAATGTGCAGTTTTGTCACACCACACAATGCCACATATGTCTCAAGTTTTGAGGGAGCGTGCAATTGGCATGCTGACTGCAGGAATGTCCACCAGAGCTGTTGCCAGATAATTTAATGTTAATTTCTCTACCATAAGCCGACTCCAACGTCGTTTTAGAGAATTTGGCAGTACATCCAACAAGCCTCACAACCGCAGACCACGTGTAACCACGCCAGCCCAGGACCTCCACAACCAGCTTCTTCACCTGCGGGATCATGAGACCAGCCACTGTAGGTTTGCACAACCTGAGAATTTCTGCACAAACTGCAAGAAACCGTCTCAGGGAAGCTCATCTGCGTGCTCGTCGTCCTCACCAGGGTCTTGACCTGACTGCAGTACGGCGTTGTAACCAACTTCAGTGGGCAAATGCTCACATTCGATGGCCACTGGCACACTGGAGAAGTGTACTCTTCATGGATGAATCCCAGTTTCAACTGTACCGGGCAGATGGCAGAAAGCGTGTAGGCGAGCAGTTTGCTGATGTCAACGTTGTGAACAGAGTGCCCCTTTGTGGTGGTGGGGTTATGGTATGGGCAGGCATAGCTACGGACAACGAACACACTTGCATTTTATCGATTGCAATTTGAATGCACAGCGATACCGTGACGAGATCCTGAGGCCCATTGTCGTGCCATTCATCCGCCACCATCACCTCATATTTCAGCATGATAATGTACGGCCCCATTTCGCAAGGATCTGTACACAATTCCTGCAAGCTGAAAATGTCCCAGTTATTCCATGGCCTGCATACTCATCAGACATTGTATCCATTGAGCATGTCTGGGATGCTCTGGATCGACATGTGCGACAGCATGTTCCAGTTCCTGCCAATATCAAGCAACTTCAGACAGCAATTGAAGAGGAGTGGGACAACATTCCACAGGCCACAATCAACAGCATGATCAACTCTATGCAAAGTAAATGTGTCGCGCTGCATGAGGCAAATGGTCGTCACACCAGATACTGACTGTTTTTCTGATTCACATCCCCCCTTTAAAAGGTATCTGTGACCAACAGATGCATATCTGTATTCCCAGTCATGTGAACCCATAGATTAGGGCCTAATGAATTTATTTCAATTGAGTGATTTCCTTATATGAACTGTAACTCAGTAAAATCTTCTGAAATTGTTGCATGTTGCGTTTATATTTTTGTTCAGTGTATATATAGCTAGCTTAGCAGTATTGCTGTTGTGTACATTAAAAAAAGAGACTGTGATATTTTACAATACTCACATTTCCACTTCTGTCTGTGGCACCTGTGGTTTACAGGAATTAGCAGTTTTCCCACTGGCTTTGGCTTTACCTGTTGATGAAGTACAAAATGTCACAATGGTATGCAAATTCATGAGCACTTTCTATAGATGTTGAACAAGCTATCAAATGTAAATACAGTCTGTTATTACTATTTATAAACTGGGTGATTCGAGCCCTGAGTGCTGATTGGCTGACAGACGTGGTATACCACGGGTATGACAAAACATTTATTTTTGCTGCTCTAATTACGTTGGTAACCAGTTTATAATAGCAGTAAGGCACCTCGTTGCGTCGTGCCTAAGAACAGCCCTTAGCGTGGTATATTGGCCATATACCACACCCCCTCGTGCCTTATTGCTTCAGCATACTACCTCTTCTTTTACTTGTTACTCTTTTATTGTTGGTATTGCCTAATGTACTGCACTGTTGAGGAAGCTAACACATAAGCATTTCGCTGCACCTTTTATACTGGCTGTAAACTGTGTATGTGACAAATATTTTTTGTCTTGTTTGTTGATTTTATAAGGTTATTTCTTTGTCATGTGATGCCTTACTGTACCTGCTTGAAAAGCTGCACTGGGACTCATCTGGTAGGTACCAGTCAATGGGGAGTAGTTTCTGTCTGGTGCAGGTCTCTTGGCTGGTGTCTGTTTGGTGCACACAGACACACAAATAATACATTTACCCATTACATTTTCTCCTGGTTATGCTTACTAGCCATAACGTTATGATGCAGAACAGAAGTCACACTCCCAGAAATTGCCAGTTCAATTTAGCTAGCTACAGTAAGTTAGGCTCAAATTCTCTCATAACAATCACTGATGTTTTCTACACTAACTCACGTTGTCCTTGTCCTCCAAACGGAGTGTTCTTTTGGCTCTGTGAAAGACAGTGAAGATCATTTAGAAACATTAAATAAAGTGTGTATTAGAAACTACTGTTAGCTTAATTAGTAGGACCCCCCCCAAGCTGGCTTGTTCAGCTAACGTTAGCTACTTTAGCGAGCTCGCTAGTTTATCGAGGCCAACAACTTCATTTGCACAGTTATTACATTGTATGATTCATTAATAATGTTGATAAATGTGTAGTTATCTAACACAAAGGAATAGATAGTAAGAAACTTACGGCATTTCTGTTGATAGTTGACAAACAACTTCTGAGAGGCCCAGTCCAATGGTTACAAATTTAGCGCGTATATCGTTTGCAAGAGAATTTGTGTCCTCCGGAAACATGACCAACACGAAATTTCTATCCGCCGGTGAAAATGATATCTGTTATCTTTAATATCACAGTATTTGCATATAGTATTGATTTAAAAAAATAACGTTATCATTAAATACAATACTTTTTAAATATTTGTTTTAAATTACTGTTTTATTTAAATAATAATATATGGGAACCTTTCACATTTCTTGTTCCTTCCGATGTGCTTTTCTCAGTGCATCGCGAAATGTTTGTGTACATAGCAACTAAAAGACCGTTATTTCTGGTACAAACTGTTGAAAGCAGTCATTTTTTCAACGAGGTAAAAATCAATACATATTAAGTGCGTTTTAGTTGTTGCGTTTTAGTTGTTGTTTTTCGACTTGAATTATTACGAAGCACCATATTTGTTGAGAATCTGGCTGTTGCTGTCAGTGCTGAGTTCTCTGTCTGGCTAAGCTGGTTAGCTAACGTTCGCTAGGTAGCTAGGTTGCTGTATAGCTAGATAGCTAAATTGTTTATTGACATATTTCCTACAGAATGTCTCTGCAGGCATCTTCTCAGTCTGTCGGGATGCAGAAATGTACTGATGAGGAAACTTTCTACATGCACTGCAGAGCCGCCTACCTGACTGTATTCAGGTCTAGTCTGGCCAGTATCACCTCCAAACATCAGCTATGCCGTGGTAAGCAAACATTCTCATAACATCTCATCATTAGTTCAGAGGACAATAATTTGTGTAGCTGCTAGCGTACTACTGGCTGCAGTAGCAATTATCACGTTATCATGCAGTCAGTAGCTAAGTAAATTATGCATATCAGTGAATTCTTCCACCACCTCATAATACTGCCTGCTTAGAATTTATAACCCCTCTGAATAGCCTACATCTAGTGGAAGTGTCACTCCACTAAATGTTGTAGCTACTGAACAATAAGCCATCATCATCATGTTATGAAAATACACTGCTCAAAAAAATAAAGGGAACACTTAAACAACACAATGTAACTCCAAGTCAATCACACTTCTGTGAAATCAAACTGTCCACTTAGGAAGCAACACTGATTGACAATACATTTCACATGCTGTTGTGCAAATGGAATAGACAACAGGTAGAAATTATAGGCAATTAACAAGACACCCCCAATAAAGGAGTGGTTCTGCAGGTGGTGACCACAGACCACTTCTCAGTTCCTATGCTTCGTGGCTTATGTTTTGGTCACTTTTGAATGCTGGTGGTGCTTTCACTCTAGTGGTAGCATGAGATGGAGTCTACAACCCACACAAGTGGCTCAGGTAGTGCAGCTCATCCAGGATGGCACATCAATGCGAGCTGTGGCAAGAAGGTTTGCTGTGTCTGTCAGCGTAGTGTCCAGAGCATGGAGGCGCTACCAGGAGACAGGCCAGTACATCAGGAGACGTGGAGGAGGCCGTAGGAGGGCAACAACCCAGCAGCAGGACCGCTACCTCCGCCTTTGTGCAAGGAGGAGCAGGAGGAGCACTGCCAGAGCCCTGCAAAATGACCTCCAGCAGGCCACAAATGTGCATGTGTCTGCTCAAACGGTCAGAAACAGACTCCATGAGGGTGGTATGAGGGCCTGACGCCCACAGGTGGGGGTTGTGCTTACAGCCCAACACCGTGCAGGACGTTTGGCATTTGCCAGAGAACACCAAGATTGGCAAATTCGCCACTGGCGCCCTGTGCTCTTCACAGATGAAAGCAGGTTCACACTGAGCACATGTGACAGACGTGACAGAGTCTGGAGACGCCGTGGAAAACGTTCTGCTGCCTGCAACATCCTCCAGCATGACCGGTTTGGCGGTGGGTCAGTCATGGTGTGGGGTGGCATTTCTTTGGGGGGCCGCACAGCCCTCCATGTGCTCGCCAGAGGTAGCCTGACTGCCATTAGGTACCGAGACGAGATCCTCAGACCCCTTGTGAGACCATATGCTGGTGCGGTTGGCCCTGGCTTCCTCCTAATGCAAGACAATGCTAGACCTCATGTGGCTGGAGTGTGTCAGCAGTTCCTGCAAGAGGAAGGCATTGATGCTATGGACTGGCCCGCCTGTTCCCCAGACCTGAATCCAATTGAGTACATCTGGGACATCATGTCTCGCTCCATCCACCAACGCCACGTTGCACCACAGACTGTCCAGGAGTTGGCGGATGCTTTAGTCCAGGTCTGGGAGGAGATCCCTCAGGAGACCATCCGCCACCTCATCAGGATCATGCCCAGGCATTGTAGGGAGGTCATACAGGCACGTGGAGGCCACACACACTACTGAGCCTCATTTTGACTTGTTTTAAGGACATTACATCAAAGTTGGATCAGCCTGTAGTGTGGTTTTCCACTTTAATTTTGAGTGTGACTCCAAATCCAGACCTCCATGGGTTGATAAATTTGATTTCCATTGATAATTTTTGTGTGATTTTGTTGTCAGCACATTCAACTATGTAAAGAAAAAAAGTATTTAATAAGATTATTTCATTCATTCAGATCTAGGATGTGTTATTTTAGTGTTCCCTTTATTTTTTTGAGCAGTGTATATAAATTAATTCATTTTCGATGTATCTTAGTTCTCCAGCAGGCAGGCAGAAATCCATCCCAGGCAACTCTCAACAAACACTGGACCCCAAGAACCACTAAGCTGAACTTTGATGATTTCTGTGAGATAGTGAAGAGTGAGAGGCCGACAGAGGCGCACGAGTTGATGAGAGCCTTCAGAAAGATGGACATTAATGGGGATGGCTATATCTCACACAGTGAACTACACAAAGTCCTCACTTCAGTAAGTACTGCCTCATTGAAGTCACTCTACATCATCCAGATATTTCTAGGTACAGTATAATACATTGAAATGAAAGTGTGATACATTGCAGATATGTACATGAATAGCTCTAACTTATAGGCTACACCTGTCTGGTTAGACCGTAAACTCTCCTTCCAGACTCACATTAAGCATCTCCAATCCAAAGTTAAATCTAGAATCGGCTTCCTATTTCGCAACAAAGCCTCCTTCACTCATGCTGCCAAACATGCCCTTGTAAAACTGACTATCCTACCGATCCTTGACTTCGGCGATGTCATTTACAAAATAGCCTCCAACACTCTACTCAGCAAATTGGATGTAGTCTATCACAGTGCCATCCGTTTTGTCACCAAAGCCCCATATACTACCCAGCATTGTGACCTGTACGCTCTCGTTGGCTGGTCCTCACTACATATTCGTCGCCAATCCCACTGGCTCCAGGTCATCTATAAATCACTGCTAGGCAAATCCCCGCCTTATCTTAGCTCATTGGTCACCATAGCAACACCCACACGTAGTCTGCGCTCCAGCAGGTATATCTCACTGGTCATCCCCAAAGCCAACACCTCCTTTGGCCGCCATTCCTTACAGTTCTCTGCTGCTAATGACTGGAACGAACTGCAAAAATCTCTGAAGCTGGAGACTTATCTCCCTCACTAACTTTAAGCATCAGTTGTCAGAGCAGCTTACCGATAATAATATAATAATATGCCATTTAGCAGACGCTTTTATCCAAAGCGACTTACAGTCATGCGTGCATACATTTTTTTGTGTACGTGTGGTCCCGGGGATCGAACCCACTACCTTGCCGTTACAAGCGCCGTGCTCTACCAGCTGAGCTACAGAGGACCACATGTACACAGCCCATCTGTAATTAGCCCACCCAACTACCTCATCCCCATATTGTTATTTATTTTGCTCATTTGCACCCCAGTATCTCTATTTGCACATCATCTTCTGCACATCTATCACTCCAGTGTTAATACTAAATTGTAATTATTTTGCACTATGGCCTATTTATTGCCTTACCTCCAAAACTTACTACATTTGCACACACTGTACATATATTTTCTATTGTGTTATTGACTGTATGTTTTGTTTATTCCATATGTAACTCTTTGTTGTTGTTTTTATCGCACTGCTTTGCTTTATCTTGGCCAGGTCGCAGTTGTAAATGAGAACTTGTTCTCAACTGGCTTACCTGGTTAAATAAATAAATACAAATTCAAAGCATTATGTTTTCCCGCCAACTTTTGCATCCCGACAACTTTTTTATGCCTTTTCTTTATATCTGAAAGTTGTTGCCGGTATCAAAGCCTAAACTTGTATTTTGCGGTAAAGTTGTACCTATGGCTTAGGATGAAATGTAGCCGTAATGCTGGCATGCACTACACTCTTGATGGTTGTTAGACAGCGCCCATTACTACTATCCTCCTGGCAGTTCTACATTTTGCGAGGCATGTCACTTCATCCATCTCTTCGCATATCCCACCACATGCACTGTTTTCTTAACCACAACTGGATGGATCCATAAAGAATTACTGTGGGAATAAATATCACTGAATGATTAACATATTGAAATAAAGTAGGCTAATGCAAATGAAGGCATCACATTGTTGCTTACTGAAACTCCCAAAGTCATCCAATTGTTATAATACATTTGAAGCAACCCACTCGGCAAATAGTGGTTGAACCAACGTAGAATAGACATTGAATTGACATCTATGCCCAGTGAGAATAGCCTACCCGCGTGTTTATTTCAGCACCGTTTTGCACTGCTTTGAGACAAGCGTGGGGACTCGTCTTGATAAATCAATCAATGTCAGGTTTTTATTTTCACAGAATCTCAGTTTGGATATTGGTTAGGCTACATTTAGGCTGTGAAAATGTTAGGTAAGTTGAGGTGAAGCTGCTCATGATCATCTTGTCTAGTTTGCTGGTTTATTAGCCCTGATCAGAACATTTTGACAGCATGTTATGGAGCTTAACAAGTGGATTATGTTGCTCTTCCCTGGCTGCTTAGTAACCTAGGCCTACTCCCGACCAAAAGCCTGTGACTTCTCTTAATCAATCAATGTGATTGTGTTTCACTGAATCGCCGTCTGTATATTTGGTTAATTCTCTGGCTGGGAAAATAAGTGGAGGTGGTATACTTCATCTGTTCGTTTGCTCATCGATCACTGATCAGAAACATTTAGCATGCAATAATGGAGCTTAAATCAAGTGTAGGCCTATTATTTAGCTCGATGGCGTATATGCAACTCCAAAGGCCTGCAGATGTTGGGAAAGATAAACACAAGGCTCACATGCTTTTGAAAATATATAGATTGCTATTATTTTCTATCAGTATCATGATGAAGATACTCTCATGGTAAGATCCTACGCCTGCTCCATAACAAAGCAGAGGGAGGGTAGGAAAGAGATTTAAACTTGGCTCAAAAAAGCATGGGCTTGGTTTGGGCTCTGTTTCAAAAGAACTTTTTTTATATGACAGTGGTTTCACACGTTGCTGGGATATTTTGTTATGTTTTATTATATTCTTAGCCTACTATAAAATATATGTGTTGACTGTGAACATGGTAGCCTAAGTGTGTCTTGTCTGTGAACAAAATAACTATTGATTTCATGTGCATGGCCATGTATGCTGCACAGACCAGCATCATAATTAAACTCAAAATATGCTATTCTATTCTTTTGAAAATAAATTGTGTTAGTCTTATAATGTTTCTTAGGACCAAAAAAAACGAATTAATTATGGATTTCTTTGTGATGGTGTATATTCAATGGATGTATTAAAATCGACGTCCACCCACATGGGCCCATGTCTACTCCCACTCCTAAAGTTGCCGGCATGTGCGCGGGAGATATAAAAGGCTTTTCCCGGCATGAATGTGGTAAACAATTTGACTGTATGAATTAGGTTCTAAAAAACATTGGCAGATTTTTTTTTACAGGCAACATACAGTAAAGTCTGTCTGTAAAGGGTGTTAGGTAATCACAAGCTACTTACACTGAGATCAAAGGCCCAATTCAGCTTGCTCAAAATTGATGAACTTTCTTGTTCTTCTAGAGAGGTGAAAAGATGGCTGCCGAGGAGGTGGATGCCATTTTTTCATTAGCTGATACCAACAAAGATGGCAAATTGGACTATGCCGAGGTGAGATTGGGATGAGCGTTAGCTATTTTTACCATACCTTTTCATTGCCTTTTGCAATAGGCCTCCATGTATTACTCTAATTGAACTCTTTAGCATGCAGTTTCATGTATTATACAGTGATAACATAACAGCACTATATCATTGCCTGCGTGTGTCCCAGTTCTGCAGACTGTTGGTGTCCACGGCAGAGCAGTGTCAGATTGCAGCTCTGGAGAGACTGGAGGCTGATGCCAAGCTGAAGAGACAGAACTTTGGCAACGAGTTAGACAGCTCTCCAAAGAGCTCTGCGTCCACCGCTGTGACTGTCCCCAAAACAGAGCCGGACACCACACTGAAGAAAGGTACTACAGATCTCTGGAGAGGAGTGCCAGCCTAGAACAGTACTATGCATGCTTACACACACGTACACACACTCTCTCTCTCTCTCTCTCTCTCTCTCTCTCACACACTCGCTGCCTATAAGTGCTCTCCTCTGGAGTAGTGATAAGGAATAAGTAATAGGTCTGTTATTGATTGATTTTCCTCCCCGATGACAAATCACCTCATTAAGACACCATGCATCATCATCTCCACACCATTACACCAGTCTGTTTGTAGGGAGGGGATTCTAAAGCATTGTGATTTAGGTAATCATACCTTCCATTATGAGGTAGGTTAACAGAGGGAGGGTTGAGGGGGGGGGGCAACGTTCCCCACTGAGAGACCCAGGGTAGACCTAGGTTCATATACTATTTTAAATCACTTCAAATACTTTAACTGGACTTGATTGAGCTTGCCTGGCAAAATGGAACCAATAGAGATGTTGCAAAACTGCAAACCCTGCCCATCTGACACTCCAGGCAGGCTTACACAAATGCTAAAAGTATTTGAAAGATTTCAAATAGTATTTGAACCCAGGTCTGAGCTAGGGGCCAGGCAGGGCGGGCCAGGGATGGGAAGATGGAGTGGGTTGCTTTAAGTGGTCAGTCTGTGTTCATGTTATTGATTGGGGCGATCCCTCAACTGCTCACTGAGACCATGAGGGATTACACAGTCATCTAGGGGAAGGCCTCTCTAACCAGAGCTGGAAAAACAAATGAGTTGTGAGATACTGGCTGGATTATCACATTATTGTGACTTTCCCATCAATTGATTTATCCGCGCTTTACGTGTTAACATGCTTCTGACACAGTTTGCATGTGACCAAGGCCATGTAAGGCTTTTCTAGTGCTTCAAATGTTGTGACTGGTTATTTGGAGTGGATTATTCACTAGTGCTGTTAGACTAGTTTCTTCTGACTAGAAACCTCATTTTACCCCCCACACAAATGGCTTGGTTAAATTTCAATTCCAACAATACATAATTGTCTCAGTTTCCTAAACAGTTGTGATTTGGTCCTTAAAACAGAGCCCTGTCATCAATACACATTAGATCTTTGACAAATACCTTGATAGTGGAGCCATTTATTTAACTGGTATGTTAAGATGGTATAGTGGATCACATTACTCTGCATCTCTCTTCGATGGTCTGAGAAACAATCAAGCCCTAGATTATTGAATTTATATTTTCTGGTTTCAATTAGCAGTGGAGGGAAAGTTATACAAGATAATGGATTGGAAGGATTGTGTGATTGCGCAATTTGTAATTTAGAATGCCTCCACAAATGAATTAAAGTGTTTGAACTTGAGATCACGTCTCACATTATAATGATGGTGCTTGAGTAGTCATCTTTTTTGGGGCCTAAGGCTGTGTTTCTGGTGGGTTTCTCTGTTTTTAGTTTTGTAGATGTTTCTTTGGTTCTGGTTTTAACAGATGTGTTTCTCCTGTGTGTGTTTGTGTGTCTGTATGGCGCTCAGACAGCAGATCGTCGTCCCGTCCCTCCTCAGCTCGCAGTAGACGGTCGTCACTGTCTAACGCCATCACCATGGCAGCCAGCAACACTAAGAACATCAAGCTGGCAGAGCACACATCTATACAGGTACTACAGCACTGGAACAGTGACTCACATGTACATCATCACACACTGGGGTATGGTTAACCTGTCTGTTCTCTCTACATCATCACACACTGGGGTATGGTTAACCTGTCTGTTCTCTCTACATCATCACACACTGGGGTATGGTTAACCTGTCTGTTCTCTCTACATCATCACACACTGGGGTATGGTTAACCTGTCTGTTCTCTCTACATCATCACACACTGGGGTATGGTTAACCTGTCTGTTCTCTCTACATCATCACACACTGGGGTATGGTTAACCTGTCTGTTCTCTCTACATCATCACACACTGGGGTATGGTTAACCTGTCTGTTCTCTCTACATCATCACACACTGGGGTATGGTTAACCTGTCTGTTCTCTCTACATCATCACACACTGGGGTATGGTTAACCTGTCTGTTCTCTCTACATCATCACACACTGGGGTATGGTTAACCTGTCTGTTCTCTCTACATCATCACACACTGGGGTATGGTTAACCTGTCTGTTCTCTCTGACAGAAATAATGTGGCTTAATAGTTAGTTGTTCAAGAGACGGTTGGGACGATGTATGTATATAACTGCAGCTAGACCAAGATCAGGGTCTTCTGTCTTTGAGTTATCCTCTTGAGTTCCTCATTGTGCATACATTAGACCTACCCACTAATATCAGAACAGAGCAAGGATCCACCATAGGTCCCTTCAGTAACAGCCCTGAAGTCCATTGCTCGGCTTTGGTGCTATTCCACTAGCAGATATCAGGGCCTGGGGCCAGGCAGCATTGTTGTTGCTGTTTTGTTGTCGTTGTGTGAAGCCTTTTGGTGGCAAATTTACTCTGGGTCGGTTGATAAGTATAGAGTGTTGGTATCGATCCCATTGATTTTGTTTGCACTGTTTTTGACTTCACCTCGGCTCGTTTTCTTTACTGCAACAAAACTAAAGAGAGAAAAAAACAATAGCTGTGCTCCCTGACCCTCCCTGGTCAGAGGAGTGTAATTGGAAAGTGCCAGACGGAGGAGAAGGGTAAACAATGTGTGTCTGGAGATGACCTGCTGGAAGGTCCTCTCATTGTACAGTATGTTGCTCCAGTGCCGGGGCCTGGTCTAGATGGTTCGTTGGGAGTTGGGAATGGGTAAGCCTTCGCCCTGAGACATGTAGGCTCCTATGATGTGTCTACAGCCAAGTCCATAGGAGTCTACAGCCATGTCTTAGGGCAAGGTAAGGATGTGTTTTGAAGGGAGGCAAGGAACCTTGTGGCACTCAGAGGCCCTGTAAATTAGGTCTGGGGCCAGAGTAGAGTGACTGAGTGACAGGGGCCTGTATTGGGCTGTGGCTGATCTCTATCTGTGGGGGGCATTATTTCAGACCCCTTCCCTTAATGTAGTGGATACGACATGCGCCCCGGGGAAGTTGGCATGATTTGATATTGGGACTTCTATGGTTTGATCCACTATATGTTTTACAGCCTGACATTAATACTTTGAGGAAATAGCTTTGGTTTTAAGAGGTGACATTTGTTTTCTGTCCACACACCGTTTGTTTGTTTCTTTAACTTGGTGATTGACGGGTCACCTAAAAAAATAGCCATTCCAGACTGTAAGGACTACCAGCAGTTGTGTTTCATTGAATGTGTCTTCTATGGGTTAGGAATGAGAGAGCTTTTATGCTGTACACATCTTCATCTGGGATGGATGTTTGTGCTGTCTTTCAAATTATACAATTTCCTGAGTATTAGGCCTACAATTCTGAGCATGTGTAAATGTACTTGGCGAATAAAGGTGATTCTGATCACAGTTGTGTTAGAGATTGAAAAAGCAGGCGGGAACAAAGATGGAATTCATAAACATTTCTCAATAACCACATGACGTTTTGGGAGGACAACTATTTAAACTATTTAGTTGAATTTTTTTTATATCAAAGCTAAGTGCAATTTTCCAATAACCCGGCCCATAAGATGATTTTCCAGGCCTTTGTTTTAAAGCTGGTGTCTCCATGCTGCCATCTGGTGGTTGTACATATAGTGGTCTACTAGTTAGTGTTGGGTATTGAACCAAGGTGCTGAAGCATGACATTATAAATATGCTCTCTGAATTGCATATTTAATATAGTGCCATCAAGCCCAGTTATATCTCAGTCTGTTTAACAGATTTCCAAGTGAGTAATCATTATATTTATGACTGGCTCAAATTCAAATGATGCATGCCTGTAATGTTTACTTCTCAGGGTGTCAGTTTCCTCGAGTTTTTAAACCACCTGCACTAATGCATTGTACAAGGATTGTATGCCATTTTGTGAGCTTTTCCTACGTAATGTCAGTTAAAAGGCCCACTGTGGTATTAAAGCAGTTTTTGATCATTTAAAAAAAAACATCTCCCCTGTGCCAGGACTGGCATCACACCTGTATGAAGGGCAGTTTCTTCCTTGAGGAGGATGGAGGCATCACGTCCCTGCAATACCGTCTCACCGTCCCCCAGACAGCCACCGTCTATCTCACCATCAGCCCTCTCAACCTTAGCCAGAGACTTGGTAAGTCTACCTCACCATCAGACCTCTCAACCTTAGCCAGAGACTTGGTAAGTCTACCTCACCATCAGCCCTCTCAACCTTAGCCAGAGACTTGGTAAGTCTACCTCACCATCAGCCCTCTCAACCTTAGCCAGAGACTTGGTAAGTCTACCTCACCATCAGACCTCTCAACCTTAGCCAGAGACTTGGTAAGTCTACCTCACCATCAGCCCTCTCAACCTTAGCCAGAGACTTGGTAAGTCTACCTCACCATCAGCCCTCTCAACCTTAGCCAGAGACTTGGTAAGTCTACCTCACTATCAGACCTCTCAACCTTAGCCAGAGACTTGGTAAGTCTACCTCACCATCAGCCCTCTCAACCTTAGCCAGAGACTTGGTAAGTCTACCTCACCATCAGCCCTCTCAACCTTAGCCAGAGACTTGGTAAGTCTACCTCACCATCAGACCTCTCAACCTTAGCCAGAGACTTGGTAAGTCTACCTCACTATCAGCCCTCTCAACCTTAGCCAGAGACTTGGTAAGTCTACCTCACCATCAGCCCTCTCAACCTTAGCCAGAGACTTGGTAAGTCTACATTTAGAAAGTAACCTACCCAACCCTGCTGATGGTGAGGTAATCTGTGACAGTTACTAGTTATCTGTCCAAAATTGTAATCAGTAACGTAACTTTTGGATTACCCAAACTCAGTAACGTAATCTGATTACTTTCAGTTACTTTGGGATTACTTTCCCCTTAAGAGGCATTAGAAGAAGATACAAAATTACACTGAACAAAAATATAAACGCAACATGTAAAGTGTTGGTCCTATGTTTCATGAGCTGAAATAAAACATCCCACAAATTTTCCATACACTCAAAAAACGTATTTCTCTCAAATGTTGCCAATATCAAGCAACTTCGCACAGCCATTGAAGAGGAGTGGGAAAACGTTCCACAGACCACAATCAACAGCCTGATCAACTCAAAGGAGATGTGTCGCGCTGCATGAGGCAAATGGTGGTCACACCAGATACTGACTGGTTTTCTGATCCACGCCCATACCTTTTTAAAAATCTTTATTCCCAGTCATTTGAAATCCATAGATTAGGGCCTAATACATTTATTTCAATTGACTGATTTCCTTATATGAACTGTAACTCAGTAAAATCGTTGAAATTGTTGCACGTTGCATTTATATTTTTGTTCAGTGTAGATTAGCCAAATTGTTTTACCTGAACATAACCCAAAAACTAAGGACTTATTAGCCTCTCTGTTGTTTAGGATTTTGTTGTCATGGAGGACTGATTGGGCTCCTCTCATGGAATGGCATGCTTTGAGCACTACCGAAAAGTGCTATTAGCATGTGAAATGAAGCCATATGCTGCGTCTGCTATAGACCTATTGTTTACATTTTTGTTGGTGACACTTTGATATCTTGATAATCTGCAGTTGTTTAAGTGTATCAAAAGTGTGAGTTTGAGCATGTGTCCATTAGGCCTATGGACATATATGTTTTTTTATCCGCACAAATTAGATTGAGCAATTCAATCCCCACTCGTGGTCTTCTTAAATTAGTTTTTGACAGTATGTGTGGAGCTCAACACCACGGAGGAGTTAAGAAGAGAGAGACTCCCTCAAACTTTTATTACATAGGCTGGGATCCACATGGACCGCTGGGATCCGCACAACTATGCTGCTGTTGCAAGAGCACATTTTTCACTGGCTCTGGATCGCAAAAACAATGGTTGCAAAAACAATGATTCATAGGCAGCTTAAACTTACTCAATTCAACCATTATTGGGTTAAAATACACATATACATTTGTGAACAGCCATCCACAACGACCACAATCCGTAAGCTCCAAATAGCTATATGAGCGATCAACAGTTTGATTCACATCATTGTGCTGTGTAGAGACTGTATCAATAATAAGTGATATCCATATCGCCCGTCGGCTACACCACTGCTGTCGTCTTTGCCTCCAAGCGTTTATTCAAATTGGATGGATAATCTTTGGATGCCGCCAACAGTTGCACCATTGGAAGACATAGCATGGACTGTAGCCTGCAAATGCCTATTCCTGCTCTTTTCCCACAATCCATCAAACGCATTTGGTGTCATCATAGTGGTCTATGACTTGTGGTCAGGCTTACTCATGCAGAACAAACTTAAACTTGAGCCTTTTTTCAATGCTGATTTGAATGTCATTGAGAAAACAGAAAGTATATTTTTTTGCAAACATCCTTTCTGAACTTAAAAGTAATCCTAGAAGTAATCATGTAGTTTTTCGAAAGTATATGGAATCTGATTACAATATTTTAGCTGGTAATGGATTACAGTTAGTTTTTTTGTAATCCGTTACTCCCCAACCCTGACCATCACTCCCACCCATCACTTCATTGAGTGTGAAAGTGTGTGTTGTTTTTAATAGTACAGTTTTGGGTAAATGTTTTGATATTTGCAATTGAGGACTGGAAGGTAACCTTTTTGTCCTGTTTCTTAGAAAAGCCCTCGTCCTGGATGTCGGTGGACACAGCTGTCTTTGTGGTATCAGGAAAAGCCACTAAAGAGGACTCCACTTTGGTGTGTTTTACTGAGTCAAGAGACAAAGAGGTCAGTCAGTCCTTAATTATTGTACATGTCATGCATGATAACCATTTTCAAATTAAACAACCTCCAATTGAGTATGTTAGAGAGAGAGAGAGGGTGATGGTTGGAGGGTGTTTGTAGTAGAGGTCTTCATTGGTCCGGGTGGACCCGATATACCCTAGACCCGACCGGGCCCGATTGGATTCAGGTCTGAAATTGTTCCTCGGGTCAGGGTCAGGTCCTGTTTGATTATCGACCACGGCTCAGCATAGCCTATAGCATATTTATTTTATGCTAACAAGGTAAATCTATTGACTTCTAGAAGGCCTAGCCAACATATAAAGACCTATTTTGGCCAGAAGAGCAACTTGACTGATAAACATACTTTTTTTGTCACTCTGGTCCAATCTGGTCTAGACCCGGATCCGTTAGGGTCTGATTATCGTCTGTCCGGGTCCAACTTTTTGGACCCCCGAAAATACCTCTAATTTGAATGATAAACTGGGTGGTTTGAGCCCTAAATTCTGATTTGGCTAAAAGCCATGGTATATCAGGTATGACAAAACATTTAGTTTTACTGCTCTAATTACGTTGGTAACCAGTTTATAATAGCAGTAAGGCACCTCTGGGGTTTGTGATATATGGCCAATATACCACGGCTAAGGGCTGTGTCCAGTCACTCCGCATTGCGTTGTGCACAAGAAAAGCCCTTAGCCGTGGTATATTGGCCACATACCACACCACCTCGGGCCTTATTGCTTAAGTGTAGCATGAGAATAGCCTTTCATAGACAAACTCTCTCTCAGAAATGTGATTACTGACCTCGAGCGGCCAGCTATGATACTGCTCATCTCCAGTGATTTGTATAAACTTCAATAGGAAAAACCTAACAAACATATTGTTCATGAAAACAGAAGTGTTGCTGGAAGGGGGAGCTGAGTGCTGGTACCTACTGCCTCCTTCCTTTCACCACGGGCTGTAGGCTGAGGAGGAGGACCAGGAAGAGTGTGTCTAAACCTGTCACGCTGGTCAACAGGACTGACACTGGGGAGCTGGACCTCACTAGGGACTTCAGGTGAGTTATACACCCTTAACTGTTACACACCTGGTAGAAATGATGAGGAGTAATAGTATACAGTATTAACACTAAGGCTGTGACAATACCCGTATCGCTATATTTTTTTCCATGGCAAAAAGAAAACACGAAGCAGACAAAACCTCTTTGGTCCTTTAAAAACCTGCTGTGTATAAAATATTGTGTATTATAGGTTGGGAAATTAATGTGACTCTGGATGACAACACAATGATGTTTGTTTCCAACATTAGGGCTGTTTTCCTAAAGAAGTGAAGCCGCTTCGTGTTTTGTTTCCTTGCCACGATACTAACGAGTATCGCAATACTGGTATCGTCCCGGCCCTACTAGACAATGTGTGAACTTGTGAACCTTACATTTATTATCAGAGGCAAAATATTATTATTATTGTGAAAGGTGCTGAATGTTGTGTATTCATTTTTTACATTTTACATTTTAGTAATTTAGCAGACGCTCTTATCCAGAGCGACTTACAGTTAGTGAGTGCATACATTATTTTATTTTCATACCCGCTGTGGGAATCGAACCCACAACCCTGGCGTTGCAAACGCCATGCTCTACCAACTGAGCTACATCCCTGCCGGCCATTCCCTCCCCTACCCTGGACAACGCTGGGCCAATTGCGCGCCGCCCCATGGGTCTCCCGGTCGCGGCCGGCTACGACAGAGCCTGGATTCGAACCAGGATCGCTAGTGGCACAGCTAGCACTGCGATGCAGTGCCTTAGACCACTGCGCCACTCATCTCCACAGTACATTGCAAATGTGCTGCTCTATGTCTGTGAAGATGCTTCCTTCCTACATTTAATTTTTTTTACATTTTAGTCAGTTAGCAGACGCTCTTATCCAGAGCGACTTACAGCTAGTGAGTGCATACATTTTCATACCACAGGGGGGCGCTGTCTGATATCTTTGAGGTGATAGACCTGGATGGGAACGGCCTCCTCAGTCTGGAGGAGTACAACTTCTTTGAGCTCAGGACCAGTGGAGAGAAATGTGATGAGGATGCATGGGCTGTCTGCAAAGGTGAGATATACCTGATGTATTCAAATGGATATTATACACTGGGTGGTTCGAGCTATGAATGCTGATTGGCTGACAGCCGTGGTATACCACGGGTATGACAAAACATTTATTTTTACTGCTCTAATTACGTTGGAAACCAGTTTATAATAGCAATAAGGCACCTCGGGGGTTTGTGATATATGGCCAATATACCACGGCGAAGGGCTGTGTCCAGTCACTCCGTGATGCGTCGTGCTTAAGAACAGCCCTTAGCCGTGGTATATTGGCCATATAACACACCCCCTCGGGCCTTATTGCTTAAATATAGTAGACTGCTATCATATGCCACTAGGTCATGTGTTGTTCCAGCTTAGTGCTGATGGTGTTTTTTAATCAATGCTTGCAGGCTTTGGCTAGAGTCAAACCAGGCTGTTTTGAAAATGAAATTATTATTGTTTGGATTGAGTCTGATGGCAGTTTGACTTGTGCTACCTGTCTGGTGTAGGAGTTGAATTTGGTTCAATTGATTCTTCAAGTGGTTCATGACTCATTAAGTGATTCATGACTCTATGTGACTCCCTCCCAGAGAACTTTGACACCCGGAAGAACCAGCTGAGTCGCCAGGGCTTCATGGAGCTCAACCTGATGGAGGCCAGCGAGAGGGAGGGAGACCCCACAGACCTCTGGGTAACGCTGGAGGCCATGGGCTACAACCGCGATCTGGAGATGGTGGAGGTGGGTCCTAGTGCTAGACACACACACACACACACACACACTGTTCCTTTGTGTGTAGCAGCCGCTGGTAGGAGCACCCAGAGCAGTAACTCAGCAGTACCATAGCACATCAAATACCAGACTAATACATACTGCCATTGAATCATCACAAATTGGCTAACAATATTGTCTGACAAGTGCAGGTATAAATTAATAAATCAATTTTTCTCCTCCTCCCCTAGGCATGTCCGTTCCTGATAGATGTTTACTGTGAGGAGGGTCAGTGTACTCTGCAGCCGGTCAGTCTGGAGTCAGGCCACAGGATCCTGAACACAGCCCTGCAGAGGTCCATCACGGCCAGGTCAGAGGTCAAAACCCTCAGGGGTCAGGAGAACGTCCTGGTCTACACTTACAGAGGAGAACACAGGATCTCCACTGTCATCGCCAACAAGGTGAAGGACTAGAATACATATTATTAGATTTTTACATTGTGTTTTCAGAGGTTTTATTGAACCAACAAGATGATCAACCTCTAGAGTGGATGTTCTGTATTTACTCTGATGATTGTGATTTGATACACACTAGCCTGTTGAAGAAAAAACATGGAGGTGTCTTCATGAATCTGATCCGCCTTCAACCAAATCTCTTTTTACAAATTTCTGTATGTACATTTGACCTGTAGGGAATTCTGTACAGTAGACCACAACATCATACATTACTGCTAGTCTAGAACTGGTGAGGAGTGAGGCCATTATCACATGATGCTGTAATTGATATGCAGCTATCGCCTCCATTCACATGGCAACAGGATCCACACTGTAAGAATCCCATGGTCACACATCATAGTGGGCAGAATAGTTAGTGTGTGGAGCATCAAGATCACCAGAGTGCTGCAGTTTCCTTTTGATTTAGTAGACAGTTTTTCTCCATGCACCAGGTAATACTATACTGTAGTAGGCATTTGTTATACTTTTTCAAATGAGCTTAATAGTTAGTGAAAGCAGCCAGCTGTGAAGGGCCTGGGTGCAGGGTTTAGAAAGGAAATACTGTAGCCAGCAGTGTAGGGCCTGGGTGCAGGGTTTAGTAAGGAAATACTGCAGCCAGCAGTGAAGGGCCTGGGTGCAGGGTTTAGTAAGGAAATACTGCAGCCAGCAGTGAAGGGCCTGGGTGCAGGGTTTAGAAAGGAAATACTGTAGCCAGCAGTGAAGGGCCTGGGTGCAGGGTTTAGTAAGGAAATACTGTAGCCAGCAGTGTAGGGCCTGGGTGCAGGGTTTAGTAAGGAAATACTGCAGCCAGCAGTGAAGGGCCTGGGTGCAGGGTTTAGTAAGGAAATACTGTAGCCAGCAGTGAAGGGCCTGGGTGCAGGGTTTAGTAAGGAAATACTGCAGCCAGCAGTGAAGGGCCTGGGTGCAGGGTTTAGTAAGGAAATACTGTAGCCAGCAGTGAAGGGCCTGGGTGCAGGGTTTAGTAAGGAAATACTGTAGCCAGCAGTGAAGGGCCTGGGTGCAGGGTTTAGTAAGGAAATACTGCAGCCAGCAGTGTAGGGCCTGGGTGCAGGGTTTAGTAAGGAAATACTGCAGCCATCAGTGAAGGGGTGAAGGGTTTAGTAAGGAAATACTGCAGCCAGCAGTGAAGGGCCTGGGTGCAGGGTTTAGAAAGGAAATACTGCAGCCAGCAGTGTAGGGCCTGGGTGCAGGGTTTAGTAAGGAAATACTGCAGCCATCAGTGAAGGGGTGAAGGGTTTAGTAAGGAAATACTGCAGCCAGCAGTGAAGGGCCTGGGTGCAGGGTTTAGAAAGGAAATACTGCAGCCAGCAGTGAAGGGCCTGGGTGCAGGGTTTAGAAAGGAAATACTGTAGCCAGCAGTGAAGGGCCTGGGTGCAGGGTTTAGAAAGGAAATACTGCAGCCAGCAGTGAAGGGCCTGGGTGCAGGGTTTAGAAAGGAAATACTGTAGCAAGCTTGGCATCACATAGCTTGTAAAGGAAATGTAGCAATCCATATGCATGGTGAAATTAACTGGTTTGAATTGTCCACCCACATAGGCTACCACCAGTTCCATTTCCCCAACCACTGGGCCATCATGTTAGCCTGGTTAAACCAGACTAAACAATGCACTCACAATGGGGTAGACTCAGTCTGGCTTGACCAGGCCACCATGACGTTACCTATTTCAGCAATAACGCACAAGGAGGTGAGACGCATCGCGGAGTGACTGGACACAGCCCATAGCCGTGGTATATTGGCCATATACCACAAACCCCCGAGGTGCCTTATTGCTATTATAAAATGGTTACCAATGTAATTAGAGCAGTAAAAATAAATATTTTGTCATACCCATGGTATACGGTCTGATATACCACGGCTGTCAGCCAATCAGCATTCAGGGCTCGACCCACCTGGTTTTGATAGATTAATTTGTATTTTAAGAATAATGACTAAAGCATTTCACCCCAAATACAGTATAAATATGTGAACGGTGTTAGAGTTATAATGTAGTGTCAACCCACTAACAGAGGGGGGGAGTTAGAAACTGCTGAGAAAGCATTCCAGGGTGAAGGGGACTGAGAAACTGTTTTAAAAAGCCTCCTAAAGGTGGGCGGAGCAAATTGCCTTTGTGTGTCAAGGGGTATAAAAGCTGTATATGTATTTTTTGGCGGCAGAGCTCTCCATGATTAAACATACAGATCATTCTTGCTGGTTGTGGACCTTCGTTTAATTCATGATTAAACCAGAGTCTTACACCCTCTGGGAATTATTCAAAGCATTAAGTTTGATTAATTAGAGAGAGAAATTCTCGTGACAGGTTTATAATTTTAAACTTTACATTTTAGTCATTTAGCAGACGCTCTTATCCAGAGCGACTTACAGTTAGTGAGTCCATAAATGTTTTCATACTGGCCCCCGTGGGAATTGAACCCACAACCCTGGCGTTGCAAACGCCATGCTCTACCAACTGAGCTACACGGGCAACCATGTACTTTATATAACCGTTTTTGTAAAACATTTTCTCTTCCTGTGTACTATTGCAGAGCAGCCAGAAGGTGACGGTGCACGTGAACAACGAGCAGAGTAAGAACTGCAGCAGCAGTAGAGGGATGAGTGTGTTCGCTGTGGAGGTCCCTGCTAGAACCAAGATGGTGAGACACACTGTCCCTATTCTTTCTTCTGTTTGATTCAGCAAAAATGTTAAGAAAGTTTATCATTATTTTTTAGACTCCATAGTTTGTGGGATGTATGTTACATGACCAAAAGTATGTGGACACCTGCTCGTCGAATATCTCATTCCAAAATCATGGGCATTATTATTGAGTTGGTCCCACCTTTGCTGCTATAACAGCCTCCATTCTTCTGGGAAGGCTTTCCAATAGATGTTGGAACATTCCTGCGGGACCTGCTTCCATTCGGCCACGAGCATTAATGAGGTCGGGCACTGATGTTGGGCGATTAGGCCTGGCTCGCAGTCGGCGTTCGAATTCATCCCATTCAAAGTTGTTCGATGGGGTTGAGATCAGGGCTCTGTGCAGGCCAGTCAAGTTCTTCCACACCGATCTCGACAAGCCATTTCTGTATGGACCTCGCTTTGTGCACGTGGGCATTGTCATACTGAAACAGGAAAGGGCCTTCCCCAAACTGTTGCCACAAAGTTGGAAGCACAGAATCGTCTAGAATATCATTGTATGCTGTGGCATTCCCTTCACTGGAACTAAGGAGCCTAGCCCAAACCATGAAAAACAGCCTCAGACCATTATTCCTCCTCCACCAAACTTTACAGTTGGCACTATGCATTCGGGCAGGTAGCGTTCTCCTGGCATCCGCCAAACCCAGATTTGTCCGTCGGACTGCCAGATGGTGAAGCGTGATTCATCACTCCAGAGAATGCGTTTCCACTGCTCCGGAGTCCAATGGCGGCGAGCTTTACACCACTCCAGCCGATGCTTGGCATTGCGCATGGTGATCTTAGGCTTGTGTGCGGCTGCTCGGCCATGGAAACCCATTTCATGAAGCCTAGACGTTTCCTCTTCTCAATAACAACACTTACAGTTGACTGGGGCAGCTCTAGCAGGGCAGAAATATGACGAACTGACATCCTATGACGGTGCCACGTTGAAAGTCACTGAGCTCTTCAGGAAGGCCATTCTACTGCCAATGTTTGTCTATGGAGACTGCATGGCTGTGTGCTCGATTTTATACACCTGTCAGCAATGGGTGTGGCTGAACTAGCTGAATCCACTAATTTGAAGGGGTGTCCACATACCTTTGTATATATAGTTTATGTTAAATAGACAGATTTTACCTCCATTGAGCGGTTCATGCTCTATTTCTCCCGTTGTGTACCATCTGTTGATGAGTGTTAGACTAAAGGAGAGATCAACCACACTTCCTCTCTCTTAAGAGGAAACAGAAGCAACACGTTACTTCAAGAAGCATTCCATTTTCTTCATGGGGCAATTGTAATCATGGTTTTCACTTTAAATGGTCTTTGTCATGTCTCTTAGGTGTGCCAGCATGTCCTGCCCATCAACGAGCGCCAGGAGTGGACCTACAGCTGTGTGGAGAGCATTATACCATGCCAGTGAAACAGTGATAGACAGCAACCCTAATATTACCCTGGTACTTTATAAAACGTACTAATACAAAGGAACAGTGGGCCAAAAGCTATTTATAGCCAACAGGAAACTGAATTAATTAACAATACTATATGTATAACATGCATGTAACGTGCCTTTGTGATAGTGGTGTACTGTTTTTCCATGGAATTGTATGAAATTATGTTGATTTGAAAATTCTTTACTATAAATGTAACTTTCAATAGAGATACTGTAGATCTGTAGCTCAGTTGGTAGAGCATGGCGCTTGCAACGCCAGGGTTGTGGGTTTGTTTCCCACGGGGGGCCAGTATGAAAATGTATGTACTCATTAACTGTAAGTCGCTCTGGATAAGAGCGTCTGCTAAATGACTAAAATGTAGATAATGATACTGATAACTTATATTTGCACTATGATTTATAATATTTTTAACACTCCATTTTGATTGTGCTGTGACTCCTGTAATAATGTGTATAATCTTGCAATAGTACATCGTTTTATCACATGCCATTTTATACGAATATTATGTGCATTGTAACGTGTTTTAACAAGTGTGCTCAAGCCTCATATTTACAAACTATATGCTATATCTCTAACAATATTACATTATTATGTCTGTCAAAACTCAAAAATAAATCTCCAATTTAAAATAATAGATGAACTTGTAGACACTGTGAGATGCCTATTCACCACACTGCCCTGGAGCCTTATTCTTGCACCATTTTCATACTACTGAGGCTGGCCTGGTTACACATCCACCATAGCTGCTGGAACCATGTTTCAAAGGATAATGTGAAAAGAAAATAGCACAGAACGGTTCAGGTCGTCTTGATAGTGTAACAAGGGTATGAGAGCCGCCTGGCAGTCAGACACTCCTGTACTGCTCTGGCCTGGTTGTACTGCTCTGGCCTGGTTGTACTGCTCTGGCCTGGTTGTACTGCTGTACTGCTCTGGCCTGGTTGTACTGCTCTGGCCTGGTTGTACTGCTGTACTGCTCTGGCCTGGTTGTACTGCTGTACTGCTCTGGCCTGGTTGTACTGCTCTGGCCTGGTTGTACTGCTCTGGCCTGGTTGTACTGCTGTACTGCTCTGGCCTGGTTGTACTGCTCTGGCCTGGTTGTACTGCTGTACTGCTCTGGCCTGGTTGTACTGCTGTACTGCTCTGGCCTGGTTGTACTGCTGTACTGCTCTGGCCTGGTTGTACTGCTCTGGCCTGGTTGTACTGCTCTGGCCTGGTTTTGCATCTACCATAGTTGCTGTAATCATGCTGGAAAGGCCAGCACAGTACGGATCAGGTTCGGACAGTAGTTTGAAATGTGTGGCTGTGAGAGCCCTGCTGCTGCCTGGCCTGCCTGGCAGTCGGCTACATTCCTGTGCTCTCCACTAAGGCCTGCACTTTATTATCCTTTAGCGCTGAGCACAGTCTTGACCTCTTATTAATAGCTTGCAGACCATTACTTTGCCCTTTGACTTTTCTACTGTAACCGTAGAACTCATCGGTAAATGTCACATGACCTGTGAGCTGAATTTAATCTGCTGAGCCCCACTCCACTCTTCCTTTCTCACTACCAAATGTTTAGGAACGCTTTACCTCACAGTCCTCTTTTAGCTGGAACAGTGATGGCACTCTGTGATAGTAATGCATACTCTTTGGTAGGCCTTCTTGCCTGGTATCAAACCTTACCAAGTGGAGCTGGTTTCAATTAATCCCCAAGAAAGCAATTACGATGTAATTACTAATTTACTGTATAATATCTGAGTTAACACCAGGTTAATAATGGACTGTGAATTTAAAGAGTTTCCGAAAGTATAGAAACCACTCTCAGCAGTTAAATTTCACTATTTGTAATACCACATTGGGCTATATTGGGATAATGGGCTAATTCCTTCTACATACATGTTCGTTTAGACATGTTTTTCAAGTGTTTCAATTATTGATTACAACGTTCGATGACCTCACCGCTGCCCTCTTGCATGTTATTTTTCAATTGATCAAATAAGAGCGCAGCGTCACGATGAGGGCCGGGCCCTGGTGATAAACTGCACTGCTTTTACTTGATGTGGTGTTCAAATAGTGATTGATGCAATAGAGAAACTAGACTGTGACCCTGCCTGGCCTCTGTCACAACAACCGCATACCCCATGTGCTTCTGATTGTTGGGGTGGTTGTACCCCATGTGCTTCTGATTGTTGGGGTGGTTGTACCCCATGTGCTTCTGATTGTTGGGGTGGTTGTACCCCATGTGCTTCTGATTGTTGGTGTGGTTGTACCCCATGTGCTTCTGATTGTTGGGGTGGTTGAACCCCATGTGCTTCTAATTGTTGGGGTGGTTGTAACACAATTCCTTGGCAAGAAGTAGCTAAAACATTCCCCCAAGAATCTTAGTAGCTTTCTTGCTTTTTTTGTGCATGTGTGTTTTGTGTCCCTTGTTGAAACATTGACTGACTCAAGTGCTATGGCATGTTTGCTCATTGCCTTACAGACTTGCAGTTTTAAAGGGGTGGTTCACCACAAAATCAAAGTTTGTCAGACATTTTTAGTAGATCTGTTGAGTTTATCCTGACCTGTTAAATGCACTAGTAGATACATGTTCGCCACAATCTGAAATTCATGTTAATGGTTGACTCTGTCTAATTCCATCTCGTTATTTGGTGCCGTACATAATAATCAATAGAATCATCACTGAGAAAACACAACCTACAGTGTGTACAATGTCAATGAATCCATGTGTTGTAGACAGACACACAACAGAATGTTCCTAGGGCAGAGGTAGCCAACCCTGTTCCTGGTGTGCCGCAGGTACTGCAGGATTTTGTTCCAACTAGGGACAACACCTGACCAACTGAGTTAATTGATCAGTTCGGTGATTGCCTATATTCAACACACTTGGTCTTCCAAGTCGGTTAAATCAAAAACATGAAGTGCCTGCGGTACTCTAGGACTAGGGTTGCCTACCGCTGTTGTAGGGTATGGAAGACAAATCATTTAAAGCTGCAATATGTAACTTTTTGGGAGACCTGACCAAATTCACATAGAAATGTTGAGTTATAGATCTGTCATTCTCATTGAAAGGAGGTCTAAGAAGTCGGTAAATCTGTTCTATGTGCATTATTTCTATGCTTCCCATTCTTAAGTTTAGTTTTTGCTTTACTTTAGGTTTTGTACACCAGCTTCAAACAGCTGAAAATACAATATTCTTGGTTATAGAAAATATATTTCACAGCGATTTAGATGGTACAATGATTCTCTACACTATACTTGCTTGTTTTGTCACAAACTGAAATTAGGCAATCTATTAGATTTTTTGCAACCAGGAAATTGCAGAGCGATTTCTGCATACTACATCTTTAAAGTTCTATTTTGGTCCTAATGTTGACAGGATGCCATAGTTGAGGCACAAATACATTGTGGCATCAGACTTCTTTGAACATTGTTTATTTTATGCACCAGGCCTTGAATCAAAGTGCAGTACTGTCCCTTTAAATCTATAAGTGGGAAGGACCTAACCATGGGGGGGAGTGTGTACGTGTGGCAGCTGTGCGGTGCATTCGCCTCCACAGAATACGCGGATCACACGGGCTGTCAACTTTTCGTGGAAAATGACGAAGATCACAGTAGTCAAAACCAAGGCTTATCCCGACCAGAAGCCTGGCACGAGTGGACTGAGGAAAAGGGTGACAGTCTTTCAAACGAATGAGCACTATGCGGAGAACTTCATTCAAAGCATTATCTCTTGCATCGAACCAGCGGAGCGTCAGCCTGGACTGCTCGTAGTGGGAGGCGATGGAAGGTTTTTCATGAAAGATGCCATTCAGTTGATCATCCAGATCGCCGCTGCTAATGGGGTCAGTAATAATGCTATGTTTATCCACCTGTAGTGCCTAAAACATGACGGAAACCTATGCCTCACCCCCAAACATGCATACCATAAGCAGTTAGTCTGGCGTCTTTTGACAGCTCCCAGTGTTGACAGTGACAGCTCCAATCAGTGGTACATTGTAGGGCTTCATCATTTCTGAAGTTTGGCGGATATATTGTTGCTGATGCCGATGAAGATACGTTATTATTCATTTATTTTGGATACAGATGGCAATTCTGTCTTATAACAAAATAAAATTGAACATTTTCTTCTTCTTTAACCTTTATTTAACTAGGCAAGTCAGTTAAGAACAAATTCTTATTTACAATGACGGCCTATGGGACTTCCAATCACAGCCGGTTGTGATACAGCCTGCAATCGAACCAGGGGTTCTGGAGTGACGTCTTAAGCACTGAGATGCAGTGCCTTAGACCGCTGCGCCACTCGGGAGCCCAAATAGCCAGGGCCTGACTACCGCATTTGGTGCCCAGGGCCACGCGACCCCAAATAATTTTGTAGGATACAAAAAAAAAGAAATTAGCTAACTTACAGCATTTCAACACATTTTGCCATGGGGCAGATAATTTGTTTTGCTGTTTTATAGCTCCTCTCATGCTTTTATTCACATTTTGCCATGAGGCTGAAATAATTTAGCAGTTGTAAAGCTAATTTCCTGCTATTCTACACATTTTGCCATGAGGTTGAGAGAACATTTTGCAGTTTGAAAGAACATTTCCTGCAATTCTACAAATTCTGCTATCATATGCTAGCTGGAGGCCCCCGACCTCCAGGGGGGCCCAACTCCCTGGAGGTCAGGAGCCCCGTGGCACGTGCCTTGCGTGCCCTTCGGTAAACCGGCCCTGCATATACAGTGGGGGAAAAAAGTATTTAGTCAGCCACCAATTGTGCAAGTTCTCCCACTTAAAAAGATGAGAGAGGCCTGTAATTTTCATCATAGGTACACGTCAACTATGACAGACAAAATGTGGGGAAAAAATCCAGAAAATCACATTGCAGGATTTTTTATGAATTTATTTGCAGATTAGGGTGGAAAATAAGTATTTGGTCAATAACAAAAGTTTCTCAATACTTTGTTATATACCCTTTGTTGGCAATGACACAGGTCAAACGTTTTCTGTAAGTCTTCACAAGGTTTTCACACACTGTTGCTGGTATTTTGGCCCATTTCTCCATGCAGATCTCCTCTAGAGCAGTGATGTTTTGGGGCTGTCGCTGTGCAACACAGACTTTCAACTCCCTCCAAAGATTTTCTATGGGGTTGAGATCTGGAGACTGGCTAGGCCACTCCAGGACCTTGAAATGCTTCTTACGAAGCCACTCCTTCGTTGCCCGGGCGGTGTGTTTGGGATCATTGTCATGCTGAAAGACCCAGCCACGTTTCATCTTCAATGCCCTTGCTGATGGAAGGAGGTTTTCACTCAAAATCTCACGATACATGACCCGATTCATTCTTTCCTTTACACGGATCAGTCGTCCTGGTCCCTTTGCAGAAAAACAGCCCCAAAGCATGATGTTTCCACCCCCATGCTTCACAGTAGGTATGGTGTTCTTTGGATGCAACTCAGCATTCTTTGTCCTCCAAACACAACGAGTTGAGTTTTTACCAAAAAGTTATATTTTGGTTTCATCTGACCATATGACATTCTCCCAATCCTCTTCTGGATCATCCAAATGCACTCTAGCAAACTTCAGAGGGGCCTGGACATGTACTGGCTTAAGCAGGGGGACACATCTGCACTGCAGGATTTGAGTCCCTGGCGGCGTAGTGTGTTACTGATGGTAGGCTTTGTTACTTTGGTCCCAGCTCTCTGCAGGTCATTCACTAGGTCCCCCCGTGTGGTTCTGGGATTTTTGCTCACCGTTCTTGTGATCATTTTGACCCCACGGGGTGAGATCTTGCGTGGAGCCCCAGATCGAGGGAGATTATCAGTGGTCTTGTATGTCTTCCATTTCCTAATAATTGCTCCCACAGTTGATTTCTTCAAACCAAGCTGCTTACCTATTGCAGATTCAGTCTTCCCAGCCTGGTGCAGGTCTACAATTTTGTTTCTGGTGTTCTTTGACAGCTCTTTGGTCTTGGCCATAGTGGAGTTTGGAGTGTGACTGTTTGAGGTTGTGGACAGGTGTCTTTTATACTGATAACAAGTTCAAACAGGTGCCATTAATACAGGTAACGAGTGGAGGACAGAGGAGCCTCTTAAAGAAGAAGTTACAGGTCTGTGAGAGCCAGAAATCTTGCTTGTTTGTAGGTGACCAAATACTTATTTTCCACCATAATTTGCAAATAAATTCATTACAAATCCTACAATGTGATTTTCTGAATTTTTTTTCCTCAATTTATCTGTCATAGTTGACGTGTACCTATGATGAAAATTACAGGCCTCTCTCATCTTTTTAAGTGGGAGAACTTGCACAATTGGTGGCTGACTAAATACTTTTTTCCCCCAGTGTAGCTAGCTATATTTGCATCCTCAACCCTTTAGGCTATAGCCAAAGGCCAGCAGATGGCGATATTGAGTCGTTTCATCTTACCGTACAAAGGGAATGTGTGCAGCTGGCTATACACTCGTATCCCCCGTGGCTAGCTAGCACCCAGTGTTCCTCACTAATGCTTGCATAACACCTGGCCTCGCCTTCGTTAACAGAACTGCGGGAAAACAGTGCCTGACAGGCGGGGGTGAAGTGCACTGTCTACCGGTGTGCTAGCTAGCTACCTATCCTGCCTCCCGCCTGCTGTGTACCGCCGGAGTCCTAGCTAGCACAGTGTCCTTCGTTCCCGCCTGCCAAACACCTGCCATCGTTAACAGAACTGTGGGAATGCATTGCCCGACAGGCAGGGGCAAAGAACGCTGTCTACGGTTGTCCTAGCTAGCTACCGTTGTCGCCCCCGCCTCTTCTTCTTCTGTGGGGTTTATCAGTGGTTGGCATCCAACGTTATGGTGCATTACTTCCATCTACTTTACTGGAGCGCCCACCCGCCTCCTGTCTGTGTACCGGAGTCCTAGCTTAAAAATTGACCAATAGAAGTATAAAGTGGGGTACCTGCAGATGCACAGCCGGGTTCTGTTCGTTGCCTCTGCGACTTTAGAGGAAAGGGGGCGTGGTGGTATGCTGTCACGTAGCTCAGGCACAACATGAGCACTAGCAACACAATGTTCAGACAGACCAACGTCATTATCACACCATATAGCTCCATTATGATCTGTCCCGTATGATCCTGCACAAAATGAACATCATGATCATCACAACTCTATACGCATCTTATTCATGATGTATAACATATTGCTTCTTTATTTGCGACCTATGTGATTGTCACTTAGACATTGTATGTAGGCCTAGACCTATTAGGTATGTGAAAGGGGATGTTACCCGGATGTAGTCACAAATAGACTGATTAGATGCCGCCCCGTATTGATAGCAGTATTGTAAACCGAATATCCCACCAACCCCCTAGACCAAGGTTTCCCAAACTCGGTCCTGGGGCCACCCCTGGGTGCACGTTTTGTTTTTTGCCCTAGCACTACACAGCTGATTCAAATAATCAAAGCTTGATGATGAGTTAGGTATTTGAATCAGCTGTGTAGTGCTAGGGCAAAAACCAAAAGGTGCACCCAGGGGGGGGCCCAGGACCCAGTTTGGGAAACCCTGCCCTAGACATTGTTTACTTTCCATACTATCCCATGTCACTCAGTTGCTTGTTTAGCTCCCACTTAGCAGCCTGACCTCACCAATGGCATATTGGGTTGAATCTGTACACTCCTCTTCTATTTTCATCCTTACGTGTGTAGACTGGATAGGTGAATGTAATAAATAGGACTTACAGTTTAATATATGAAACATAACATCGGAGAATGATAATCTATCCAGTGTTCTCTCCATCCCTCCCTCCCTCTCTCTCCTCTGTCTCATGCAGATCGGCCACCTGGTCATTGGTCAGAATGGCATCATGTCTACCCCCGCTGTGTCCTGTGTGATCCGCAAGCTCAAAGCCGTGGGAGGAATCATCCTCACAGCCAGCCACAACCCCGGTGGCCCTAACGGAGACTTTGGCATCAAGTACAACATCGCCTCTGGAGGTGAGATGGGACGGTAGGGGAAGGAGAGAGATGAATTGGAGAGGTAGGAGACAGGAAGGGGATAAACAGGAAAGGGAGAAGAGAGACTGGAAATAGAGACAGGAGAGGGAGACATGGGGAAGAGGAGGGAGACAAGGAAGGGAAAAAAGGGAGAGTCAGGGGAAAGCCATATGGGACAGAGGCCAGTCAGGCCCAGGGACGAGACTGGGCTGGAGGGTAACATTTAAACTTTACTTAGCCTACCGCTGTAACGAAGATGGAGGAAGTTTCAGGATAGAATGAGCAGAGCAATGCTGTCATACTTCAATCAGTCATTTTATGACAAAGTTTAGGATGCCTAGTGATGGAGTATGGCTGTTTCCCTGTCTTACATAACATTTCTCTAGCCACTTCCTTATCCTCCTCTCTGTCCACAGGTCCTGCCCCAGAGGGAATCACAGACAAAATATTCCAGATCAGCAAGAGCCTAACAGAGTACCACATCTGCCCCGACCTCAAGGTGGACATCTCCAAGATCGGCAAGCAGACCTTTAAGGTGGACACATTCAAGCCCATGACAGGTACAGTAGAATGGGCGGGAAGTCCAGTCTCAACTGACTGGGATGGGTTAGCTTGGAGACCAATCCTGGGAGAAGCTCACTGGTACAAATCCTTGGGCAAGGCACTCAAGTTCAGGTGTATTATTGCAATCAGTAAAGTATTTGTATAGTGTCTGTCTTCTAGTTTTCTAGTTGTATGTCTTCTCCTAAGTCTAGAAACAGAATACATAAGCAATAAGGCACGAGGGGGTGTGGTACATGGCCAATATACCACGGCTAAGAGCTGTTCTTAGGCGCAATGCGGAGTGCCTGGATACAGCCCTGGTATATTGGCCATTTATCACAAACCCCAGATGTGCCTTATTGCTATTATAAACTGGTTACCAACGTAATTAGAGCAGTAAAAATAAATGTTTTGTCATACACCTGGTATACGCTCTGATATACCACGGTTTTCGGCCAATCAGCATTCAGGGCTCGAACCACCCAGTTTATAAATACAGTTAGTACATCTAATCAATCCTAAATGCTGTTTGTCCTCAACAGTGGAGATTGTGGACTCTGTGGAGTCCTACGCAGAGATGCTGAGGGGAATCTTCGACTTCAATGCCCTGAAAGAGCTTGTGTCTGGAGCCAATCACATTAAAGTCCGTCTGGACGCAATGCACGGAGGTACTCAACATATACTGTAGATCACTAAACCTCTCAGCTGACTGCTGTATAATACCACAGGTCCCTCTATTGACAATGATCTGTGTGCTTGTAATGACTTGTCTAAATGTTTGTGCTACAGCATTAGCTACAAGGTAGAGATGGCGGCAGGTAGCCTAGCGGTTACGAGCGTTGGGCCAGTAATCGAATCCCAGAGCCGACTAGGTGAAAAATCTGTCAATGTGCCCTTGAGCAAGGCACTTAACCCTAATTGCTCCTGTAAGTCGCTCTTGATAAGAGCGTCTGCTAAATGACTAAAATGTAATAAATTAGATTCCTGCTCTCAGTACTGTTTGTATCTTCAGTACTGCGTGACTTATTGTCCAATAGTCTGATCTCTCAACAATGCTGTTTTCAGTTCAGATAGATTCCCAGCAGACACACAATGTCCTGTACATCCACACCTCTATCCATAATGATCTTTACTCCCTTACCCACTTCACAGTGGTTGGACCCTACGTGAAGAAGATCGTCTGTGAGGAGTTGGGTGCTGCCGCCGACGGTGCCTTCAACTGTGTCCCCAAGGAGGACTTTGGTGGTCACCACCCTGACCCCAATCTGACCTACGCCTCTGACCTGGTCAACGCCATGAAGGGAGGAGAGTACGACCTCGGAGCCGCCTTTGATGGTGACGGTGTAAGTTGACAGTCGGGGGAACCAGTTCCAGATTTCAGCCTCATCTCATCCTTGCATAGTTGAAGTTCATGCTCCAGGTCTTGTTCATCACTCGGCTGAAGGAAGCCTGGAATCGAGGCTATTCCTTGCATGACCCTTGTCCGTAGTACCCGTCCATGAATCAGCCCACAATCCAAACCTCTTTATATCTCCTGCAGTCTGTTCAGATGCTGATCCCTCCTCTCCTACCCTCTCCTCTCCTCTCCTCTCCTACCCTCTCCTCTCCTACCCTCTCCTCAGGATCGTAACATGGTCCTTGGAAAGCATGGCTTCTTCGTCAACCCCTCTGACTCTGTGGCCGTCATCGCAGCCAACATCACTTGCATCCCCTACTTCCAGAAGACTGGGGTCAAAGGTCTGGCCCGCAGCATGCCCACCAGCGGCGCTCTGGACAAGTGAGCCTAACATCCACTCCACTCACAGTCCATTCCTAGCTTCTTCTTGATTGTGCCTTTTAATGTTTATTTATGACATTTATTTTACTGGGACAGTGCACATTAATCAGCATTTCAGTTTCCTCATTAATGTTTAACTGGCGGAGTTAGCATAAGAGCTCATTTGAATGTCCTATCGCTGTCCCTCAGTGTGGCTAAAGCCTTGAAGATGAATCTGTATGAGACTCCTACTGGTTGGAAGTTCTTTGGCAACCTGATGGATGCTGGCAAGCTGTCTCTGTGCGGAGAGGAGAGCTTTGGCACTGGTGAGTTAGGAGGACAGGGATCTTATCATAACCTGATCAGGGTGATGGCAGAACTAGAGACAGAGCGGTAGATACTCACTAAAACAACACACACATTTGTTTACATTGTCAGTTGTGTGATGAGCTTTGTTATTGCCAGCCTCCAGCCACATGGCAGGATTTTTATTAAGCTTACCAGCCTACATAGTGAACATTGCTCTCCTTTTCCAAAGACCAGAATTTCAGTTATACAGCATAATGTAGCCTTTGTATGCAGTATATCAGCTCTAGTCGTTTGATAAAGAGAATCAGTGGTGTTACCAAGACATTGTGGTGAGAGTGCTTTGTACACCACCACCCTGCTTCCCCTCTCTTCATTGTTTACTAAAGGCTCTGATCACATCCGTGAGAAGGACGGCTTGTGGGCGGTGCTGGCCTGGATGTCCATCCTAGCCCACAGGAAGCAGAGTGTGGAGGAGATCATGAAAGACCACTGGAACAAATTTGGCAGGAACTTCTTCACCAGGTTAGTGGTTGAACTCTGTTTCTCTGCTGCCCTCCAGTGGTGCAGTCTGTCTTGCTCAGGGCCACATTGTGTAGGGCAGGACTTTGTTACTCATAGAGTAGTAGAGTACTTATAGAACTATTGTTAGGTTTTCTTTTATATCAAGTTCTTCAATGATGGCCTTCATAAATGTTCATTAGGTGATCCATTTGATTTATTTTAACACCTCATCTCTTGGAGCATGCACATATTGACAGTTGAGAGCCCCTATTTAGTCTTCATATGAAGACTGTTCCCCCCCCCCCCCCCATCCTGTCTACACCAGGTCTAACCCCCCACCCTGTCTACACCAGGTCTAACCCTAACCCCCCCATCCTGTCTACACCAGGTCTAACCCTAACCCCCATCCCGTCTACACCAGGTCTAACCCCAATCTCGTCTACACCAGGTCTAACCCTAACCCCCCCATCCTGTCTACACCAGGTCTAACCCTAACCCCCATCCCATATACACCAGGTCTAACCCTAACCCTGCATCCCGTCTACACCAGGTCTAACCCTAACCCCCCCACCCCCATCCTGTCTACACTAGGTCTAACCCCCCACCCTGTCTACACTAGGTCTAACCCTAACCCCCATCCTGTCTACACCAGGTCTAACCCCCCACCCTGTCTACACTAGGTCTAACCCTAACCCCCATCCTGTCTACACCAGGTCTAACCCCCCACCCTGTCTACACTAGGTCTAACCCTAACCCCCATCCTGTCTACACCAGGTCTAACCCCCCCACCCTGTCTACACTAGGTCTAACCCTAACCCCCATCCTGTCTACACCAGGTCTAACCCCCCACCCTGTCTACACTAGGTCTAACCCTAACCCCCATCCTGTCTACATCAGGTCTAACCCTAACCCCCCCACCCCCATCCTGTCTACACCAGGTCTAACCCTAACCCCCTATCCTGTCTACACCAGGTCTAACCCCCATCCTGTCTACACCAGGTCTAACCCTAACCCCCCACCCTGTCTACACTAGGTCTAACCCTAACCCCCATCCTGTCTACACCAGGTCTAACCCTAACCCCATCCCGTCTACACCAGGTCTAACCCTAACCCCCATCCCATATACACCAGGTCCAACCCTAACCCCCCATCCTGTCTACACCAGGTCTAACCCCCATCCTGTCTACACCAGGTCTAACCCTAACCCCCATCCTGTCTACACCAGGTCTAACCCTAACCCCCATCCTGTCTACACCAGGTCTAACCCTAACCCCCATCCCGTCTACACCAGGTCTAACCCTAACCCCCATCCCATATACACCAGGTCCAACCCTAACCCCCCATCCTGTCTACACTAGGTCTAACCCTAACTCCCCATCCTGTCTACACCAGGTCTAACCCTAACCCCCATCCTGTCTACACCAGGTCTAACCCTAACCCCCATCCCGTCTACACCAGGTCTAACCCTAACCCCCATCCCATATACACCAGGTCCAACCCTAACCCCCATCCTGTCTACACCAGGTCTAACCCTAACCCCCATCCTGTCTACACCAGGTCTAACCCTAACCCCCATCCTGTCTACACCAGGTCTAACCCTGCATCCCGTCTACACCAGGTCTAACCCTAACCCCCCATCCTGTCTACACCAGGTCTAACCCTAACCCCCATCCTGTCTACACCAGGTCTAACCCTAACCCCCATCCTGTCTACACCAGGTCTAACCCTAACCCTCATCCCGTCTACACCAGGTCTAACCCCAATCCTGTCTACACCAGGTCTAACCCTAACCCCCATCCCATCTACACCAGGTCCAACCCTAACCCCCATCCCATATACACCAGGTCTAACCCTAACCCCCCATCCTGTCTACACCAGGTCTAACCCCCATCCTGTCTACACCAGGTCTAACCCTAACCCCCCATCCTGTCTACACCAGGTCTAACCCTAACCCCCCATCCTGTCTACACCAGGTCTAACCCTAACCCCCCCATCCTGTCTACACCAGGTCTAACCCTAACCCCCATCCTGTCTACACCAGGTCTAACCCACATCCTGTCTACACCAGGTCTAACCCTAACCCCCCATCCCGTCTACACCAGATCTAACCCTAACCCCCATCCTGTCTACACCAGGTCTAACCCTAACCCACATCCTGTCTACACCAGGTCTAACCCTAACCCCCCCCATCCCGTCTACACCAGATCTAACCCTAACCCCCATCCTGTCTACACCAGGTATGATTATGAAGAGGTGGACTCAGACAAAGCCAACACCATGGTCAAGGAGCTTGAGGCTAAGATGTTTGACAAGTCCTTTGTGGGCCAGAAGTTCTCGTCGGGAGATAAGAGCTATGAAGTGGCTGTCTCTGACAACTTTGCCTACACCGACCCTGTGGACGGCAGCGTCTCCAAGAACCAGGTGAGAGACGAGACCAAAAAGGCATCTAGAGAGAGGCATCCCAGCATGGGACATGGGTGTGGTGGATACAATTCTGTCAGTATATGTTAATGATTAAGAGTGATGTATAGTTACGACAATATTATTAATCTAATGTTGATAGTTCATAGAATGTTGATAGATGACCAGCACATTTCCTGCAAGCGGCACATAAAGATCTTAAAAAATAGAATTATTAGTTCTGCTCCATATTCCCAGTATATTGAGTACCTCCTTAGTAATATCTCTCTCTGTGACTCAGGGTCTGAGGATCATCTTCTCCGACGGCTCCAGGATCATCTTTCGTCTTAGTGGGACAGGCAGTGCCGGGGCGACCGTCAGGCTCTACATAGACAGCTATGAGAAGGACCCTGCCAAAATCTACGGCGACGCACAGGTGAGACCTGGGAGCTGAGGAGCAGCAGGGCTTTTCTCTGATTGGATGTGACAGGGTTATTTTAAAGCCACAGTGGGGGAACCCCTGTACTTGTCATGATGATTCAATGAGAGATTAAGTATTTCTACACACACACCCCACACACACACAATTCCAAGGTTTGTTACGCTGTCAGAGGGAATAGCCCCCAAAAGGCTTCTCCTCGACCTGGAAAGGAAGGCATCGAATTTAAGCCTGGCAGCCAGATTGTTTTGGGTCGTCAGGTCCAACAACAGTGCCTTTCAGAACTCTTAGTTGACTTGAAGGAGAAGGAATGTTTGGCTAAGAGTTGTCATGGTTGATATCAGGCCATGGGGAAAAATAAGATCGAAAAGCACAGGGTTGACACTTCATAAAGTCATTCTGAGTCGTCTGGGCAGGAGAGACTGAATGATGGAGTGAGAAAGACAAACTGACAGAATGGGTAAAAACTCCATGATAATCATTTTAGATAAAGGGGGCCCTCTATGGCACTGATTCATTTAGGCCCATTTCTATTGGTTACAAATCTAAAAGGATTGGATAGGTGAAAGCAATAGGGTAGCGGCTCAGCTTGGCCTATTCGAGGGCTAGGTGGAATTATTTGTTTAGTCTGTAACTGTAACATAGATGTCAGTGGGGTTATAGGAAGAGGCTATGACCAAGTGAGACTGGAGTCTAATGGTGACTGTTTGGCTTCCTCAGGTCATGCTGAAACCTCTGGTGGAGATTGCACTGAAGATCTCTGGGCTCCATGAGAAGACTGGCCGCACCGGGCCCACTGTGATAACATAGACTGCTGGCCCTGCCCCCTACTGTGATAACATAGACTGCTGGCCCTGCCCCCTACTGTGATAACATAGACTGCTAACCCTGCCCCCTACTGTGATAACATAGACTGCTAGCCCTGCCCCCCACTGTGATCACAGACTGCTAGCCCTGCCCCCCACTGTGATCAGACTGCTAGCCTTGCCCCCTACTGTGATCACATAGACTGCTAGCCCTGCCCCCTACTGTGATAACAAAGACTGCTAGCCCTGCCCCCCACTGTGATCACATAGACTGCTAGCCCTGCCACACCCTTCCAGGTACCTCCGGTTGTCCTATCAACCGTTCCACTTGTGCCTCTGAAGAACAACCTCACCTGTACCGTAAAGCCATTCAAACAAAGCCTTGAAAGGTAACACTGCCATTCCCAATGAATAAAACGCCCTTACAAAAACATATTGTCGCACTCGTGTGTATTTATTTGGCCGATATCAAATAAATATATATTTCAATATGTTTCAAAATATGTTGAAAGATATATTTATTTGGATTTGCATTTCTTATGGAAGACGGAAAGGCAGTATGAGCAGTCAGTTTTGTTGTCTGCAGTCATTTTTGTTGTCTGTAGCATTCTATATTTAAGACACACACCCCACCACCACGCCCAGAGTCAGTGACAGATGTCAATCTCTCCCAGCATGCCTGATCTAGCCAATCAGCTGAGAGATCAGTGCAAGAATGTGGTTATGGTGGGGAGATCACAGCCAACCAGCTTGGGGACATACTGTACATAGTCAACCAGAATCTCTCTTTAAGAGTGTGCCATATTGCTGCAGTCTATAAAACGAATGCTAGGGAAATAATTGTTCTAAGGATAGCTTCTATTGGTTTCAATTGACAATTTTGATGCCAGAGGGCGTGGTTTGGGGGCAATCAAACTACGGAAAGACTGGAAGAGCTTAATGATGTATGTGTAGAGGTAAAACATTATTGTGCTTAAGCTTCGTGCTGCAGCCACACAGAGGTTAAACAGCTCCTGGCATCAGGCGGGTCTAAGCCTCTTAGGGCCTTTCTGAAGAGGAGATCATTGACTTCTGGGCTGGGAGGTGTCAGACAGACAGACCCCCCCCCCCCCCCCCCCCCCCCCCTTACCATTCTCTCACTCACTCACTCACTCACTCATATATATCCATACTTCCCACCACAAATACCAGGCCAGGGGTGTCTGTCTATTTGAACTGATGAGAACTAACTCTGGTAGGCCTAGACCATAATCCCCTCAGCAGACAGTCTGTGAGAGAGCACTGAGGTATCCAGAACTAGCCACTAGCCAGCCCTTCACAGGGCCAGGGGAGACGGGAATGAGTGGGTGGAGTGATAATATTAATGGTGATGGCCTCTTAGCAGAGACAATGTTCTGGATATGAACATGGTAAGTTATTCTATCCTCTTGTCAACAAACAAGCCAAGAAGTTCAGGATGGGTTCCGTCCAGAGTCAAAATTGGAGAAGTGGGAGCGGGAGTGTTTCTAAAAGTTAATGTCTCTCCAAAGACATTCCTGGGCTGCGTCCCAAATGGCACCGTATGGGTCCTGGTCAAAAGTAGTGCACAATATAGGGAATAGGGTGTCATTTGGGACACAGTCTTGGTCCTGAAGCCAGGGAGGAATAGAAGACCGATGAATCTACTCTTCCTGTTCTGTGCAGGGAAATGTATTCAGTAATCGGATAGTCAACATTATCCTGAGTGATATGTGTGTGTAAGTCTCTTAAGATGATCTTCTAGCCAGATGAGAGAGCTGAGTAAGAGAGATACTTCTAGTGAGGGAAAATACAGTTCCAGAACTTCCAGCTAGTGAGGGAAAATACAGTTCCAGAACATCCAGCTAGTGAGGGAAAATACAGTTCCAGAACTTCCAGCTCTACATTTTCATTTTAGTCATTTAGCAGACACTCTTATCCAGAGCGACTTACAGTTAGTGAATGCATACGTTTTTTTTTTTTTTTTTTATACTGGCCCCCCGTGAGAAACGAACCCACATCCCTGCCGGCCAAACCCTCCCCTACAGTGGAGAAAAAAAGTATTTAGTCAGCCACCAATTGTGCAAGTTCTCCCACTTAAAAAGATGAGAGAGGCCTGTAAATTTCATCATAGGTACACGTCAACTATGACAGACAAATTGAGAAAAAAAAAATCCAGAAAATCACATTGTAGGATTTTTTATGAATTTATTTGCAAATTATGGTGGAAAATAAGTATTTGGTCACCTACAAACAAGCAAGATTTCTGGCTCTCACAGACCTGTAACTTCTTATTTAAGAGGCTCCTCTGTCCTCCACTCGTTACCTGTATTAATGGCACCTGTTTGAACTTGTTATCAGTATAAAAGACACCTGTCCACAACCTCAAACAGTCACACTTCAAACTCCACTATGGCCAAGACCAAAGAGCTGTCAAAGGACACCAGAAACAAAATTGTAGACCTGCACCAGGCTGGGAAGACTGAATCTGCAATAGGTAAGCAGCTTGGTTTGAAGAAATCAACTGTGGGAGCAATTATTAGGAAATGGAAGACATACAAGACCACTGATAATCTCCCTCGATCTGGGGCTCCACGCAAGATCTCACCCCGTGGGGTCAAAATGATCACAAGAACGGTAAGCAAAAATCCCAGAACCACACGGGGGGACCTAGTGAATGACCTGCAGAGAGCTGGGACCAAAGTAACAAAGCCTACCATCAGTAACACACTACGCCGCCAGGGACTCAAATCCTGCAGTGCCAGACGTGTCCCCCTGCTTAAGCCAGTACATGTCCAGGCCCGTCTGAAGTTTGCTAGAGTGCATTTGGATGATCCAGAAGAGGATTGGGAGAATGTCATATGGTCAGATGAAACCAAAATAGAACTTTTTGGTAAAAACTCAACTCGTCGTGTTTGGAGGACAAAGAATGCTGAGTTGCATCCAAAGAACACCATACCTACTGTGAAGCATGGGGGTGGAAACATCATGCTTTGGGGCTGTTTTTCTGCAAAGGGACCAGGACGACTGATCCGTGTAAAGGAAAGAATGAATGGGGCCATGTATCGTGAGATTTTGAGTGAAAACCTCCTTCCATCAGCAAGGGCATTGAAGATGAAACGTGGCTGGGTCTTTCAGCATGACAATGATCCCAAACACACCGCCCGGGCAACGAAGGAGTGGCTTCGTAAGAAGCATTTCAAGGTCCTGGAGTGGCCTAGCCAGTCTCCAGATCTCAACCCCATAGAAAATCTTTGGAGGGAGTTGAAAGTCTGTGTTGCCCAGCGACAGCCCCAAAACATCACTGCTCTAGAGGAGATCTGCATGGAGGAATGGGCCAAAATACCAGCAACAGTGTGTGAAAACCTTGTGAAGACTTACAGATAACGTTTGACCTGTGTCATTGCCAACAAAGGGTATATAACAAAGTATTGAGAAACTTTTGTTATTGACCAAATACTTATTTTCCACCATAATTTGCAAATAAATTCATTCAAAATCCTACAATGTGATTTTCTGGATTTTTTTTCCTCATTTTGTCTGTCATAGTTGACGTGTACCTATGATGAAAATTACAGGCCTCTCTCATCTTTTTAAGTGGGAGAACTTGCACAATTGTTGGCTGACTAAATACTTTTTTTCCCCACTGTACCTTGGACGACGCTGGACCAATTGTGCGCCGCCCATGGGTCTCCCGGTTGCGGCCGGCTGCGACAGAGCCTGGACTCAAACCAGGATCTCTAGTGGCACAGATAGCACTGCGATGCAGTGCCTTAGACCACTGCGCCTCTAGGAAGAGAAGAGATTGATGTACAGCATAGGAGAAATTGAGAAACCTGTCCTCTTCCAACCTCATTTACGGGTAGTGGATTGACGTCACCTTGTTTCATAATCCCGTCTCCTGAGTGCTGGGTCTAAATTACCTCCAATTTTGTTAATTGTTGAGAAGCTGTAAAATCAGGTGCACCTAAGAAGAGCGATCTCTCGCTCTCTCTCTCTCTCTCTCTCTCTCTCTCTCTCTGGACATGTGGAAAGGGAAAAGAAAATTGCTTTGTGGAGCACAAATAGACTTATTCCACCCATACCTGCCCTGTCGTGAATGTCAATGTCATTCATGTTGACAAAATCTCAAATCCACTAAACCCTGGCCTTTATTTGTTGGGCATATCTGTAGCATTGAAGGGGTTAACCTTAACCCCACAGCTCAAAGGTACAGGCTGTGACAGGGGGATGTGTAACGACTCTAAATGGTTCCTCTTTGAGGTCTATCAGGGGATGCATAATAGGGTGGACAGTTTGGTCCTGGACCTGCATTGTTGAGGCCCAGGCCTGTGATTCCGACACGGTGCGACGCATAATGTCTTCCCCTGTTTCGGCCGGTAATGGTTCCCAGGTTGTATTTAGATTAGTTGTCATTACGTCAGGTAATCACAATATGGCTTACATTAAGCCGCTCTGGTCTGGAGCTATTAGATGGCTAAATGACTTTCTTTGTGGTTGGCAGGGCGTCTGTGTTTTTACAGCGGCCCGTAGATTACTCTGTAGGGGGAACCGGTCCCTTGGGACATAGAACAACACCATCAGCTGACAAAGCCATCATTCTAAAAGGCCTTAAATAAGGCCTCAAGTGGAGAAAACACAGAGTAAAATAAAACCAAGTATAACTCACATTTTCTTGTGGTTTTCTCTCAGCCTCTCTCTCTTTATCCATTAAAAGCGGCAATCCACAGTTGAAACAATAACAAAGTGAATTCCCCGCCACTGTTTCAGTAAAAAGCTGAGAGATGGGGCTAGAGAAATGCAACCACTCTCAAATTCATAACAGAATTATGGATGCAAGGACAGACATTCCATGATATCAACATTTTTAATTTAAGCATGTTTTGAGGCTATACAGAGTTTGTTTACATTTACTTTGTTTACAAACATTTGAGCAAAACAAGCTTATAAGCTTTTTCAAGATGTCCACCATTGTTCCTGTACCCAAGAAACTAAAGGTAACTGAACTAAATGACTATCACCGCGTAGCAATCACTTCTGTCATCATGAAGTGCTTTGAGAGGCTAGTTAATTCTCTTTAAGTCTAAGCCATTAGGGGGGGTTCTAAGCTGACATATGCAATTGTTTTTAACCATCATACCATGGATAATTTAGCTATAATTTTTTTAAATAAAACAATTATTTGATAAAATATTCAATTTGGCCTTTACTACTATAGCCCATAGAAATGCATTGAAAAACACATTAATAAACGGCAAGAAAGACAGTAAAAAAAAAAATATTCATAAGGAATAAGGTTTTGAAATGTTTGTCCTATATCTAGGAGATATAAGAAAGCTCAGGAAATACTGCAAATATATATATATTTTATTTTATTTTATTTTATTTATTTATTTATTATTACACTGCTCA